AATGATCCTGTGGCAATGAAGCTACTCAACAAGGCTGGAGACATGCCCTCATTAGAACCACCAGAGGATGAAAGCATTAAAACGCTCTATGTAGGTGGGCTTGATGCGAGGATCAATGAGCAGGACCTAAGGGATCAATTTTATGCTCATGGCGAAATTGAATCCATAAAAATGGTGCCTCAAAGAGCAATTGCTTTTGTAACCTATACAACCAGAGAAGGAGCAGAAAAAGCCGCGGAGGAGCTCTCTAACAAGCTTGTCATCAAGGGTCTGCGTCTGAAATTGATGTGGGGTAGACCGCAAGCACCAAAACCTGAGATGGAAAGTTCTGATGAAGCAAGGCAGCAAGCACCAATGGCCCATAGTGGGATGTTGCCCCGTGCAGTTGTATCTCAGCAACACAACCAATTACATCCACCTGGCATGCAGGACCAACATCCTCCAATGCACTATTTCAATATCCCCCCACCAGCTCAGCAAGAACGAACATTTTACCCGTCAATGGATCCTCAAAGAATGGGTGCCCTTGTTGGATCCCAAGATGGTACTCCTAATGGGCCTGCAGGATCAGGTGAGAATAAATCTGGATTGGAGAAGCAGCAAGGTCAGCACTATCCATATCAAAGTATGCCCCCACCTCATGTGCAATACCAACAACAGCATTATCCACCATATGGTTATATGCCTCCAATGCCACCGTATCAGCAGTATCCTCCACCATATCATTCTCCAGTGGCCCCCCAACAGGTTGTTCAATCCACACAGCAGTATCAGCATCTTGTGCCAGCACCAAGGGCAGCACCTGCAGGGTCCATGACCTCCGTGCCATCACCTCAGGGATCCCGAGCACCTGCAGGGTCCATGCCCTCTGGACCCCCACCTCAGGGAGCTGAAGCACCTGCTGGGTCTAAACCCTCCGGCCCACCATCTCCTAGACCTGGAGAACCTGAAGAATCTAAACCCTCAGGGCCCCCACCTTAAATTTTGTTTAGATGATATACCTTCTGGTCAAGCGTTTTGGATTTAAGTTTTCTCTTGCTTGTATTGTTGGTTGCAGTAATTTGTTCAACGTACTATCTGATTAAGAAGGCAAGAACTTGCATCAGAATCTATTGTCTATGAGAAGTTATGATGCAATTTATAGGGAGCGTTTGTCCTTGTTTAGTAGGATTCATGTGCAAGTTTGATCAGGATCAGTGATCGAGGTTCCCATTAATGGGGCAAGACCATTTAACTTGTAGCCATGATTTCATGGGAGTTGGGCATTCTAGCCAGGATTTAATTTGAAAATAGGTTAGGTTCTCATGACATGGTGGTTGTATAATGTATGCTTCAATTTTACGCCGTTAACAAAAGTCTGCGTTATTCAAACACAGATACTTATTAATCCATTACAATTTAAAAACGTTTTTTTAGTGAAATAAAGACTATTCTCTCTCTTTTCTGATATGATAATGTACTTATTTATGGAAATTAGAGTTGAACATTGGTTATATATTGAAATTATTCTTGATCATTGGTAATGATCACAATTATAACAAAGCTAGTTGAATTCAAAGAATGATAGGAGTAAGATAAATGTTCACAATACAGTAGGTAGAGATACTTCACCCGTTCGTAAGTCGTCACCTTCCAGTTTTAATTCTCAGGATAATACTACTGGCAAAATCATAAATACTTGATATTTAATAATTTAAAATTTAAAGGGTCGTCTTAGTGGCTAAAAAGGTTTGCTTCATTTAAGATTTTTGAAAATTAAATTTAAGAACATGCATCCATGAGAATTTTTAAAATTCATTTGAATATACTAAATTGATGTAAGGATTGCCTTTCAAAGTTATATAATGAAAAAATTAATCTTAATTAATATATAAATTGACTAAAAAGTAACGCACACATATGATTTAATGACCATACAAAATATCTCTCAAATCCAACATCATAACACAAAATTAAAACTATATATATAAAAGATATAAATATATTATATATTAAAGATCACAGTTGAATCATGTTTTTTTTTTTAAATAAATTTTTTATTATTTTAATATGTTAATATATAGTTGAATCATGTTTTTTTTTTTTTAATTATTTTTTAATTTTAAATTATTTTTTTATTTTTTTAATATGTTGATATTAAAAATAAATTATTTTTAATATATTCTTAAATAAACTTTTAAAGAATCATTAAAAAAAAAAAAAGAGGAGGAGGAGGGATGGAGAGATCTTTGTAGCTTTGATTATTGATAAAGGAAAGAAATGGACAAGAATCACATGCAGGTGCAATCACGTAATAAAGAAATTGGTGAAGCAAATACCTATGAACAACAAACCTCGAAAAAGAATTTTAAGGGACAACCCTGATAGATAAGAAAATAAATAAAAAAATCAAGGGTCTTTCTGTAATTTAGTATCATTATTGTAACCAAGCACTCTCACAACTGAGCAATCGATATCCAACACGTGTTATACAAATTCTTATTAATTCTGTGGTCTCAATTTCACGTTAATAATATCCACTCCCAATTAGAGGGTGTTCGTTCCTTCGTGTGAAAAAATTAAATTAAATTTTATTTTAAATTAATGTATTTTTAATTTTTTTAATATATAATAATTTTTTAAAAATAAATAATATTATTAATATATTTTTCTAAATAAAAAATATTTTAAAACACGCTATTAAACGGGATGGTGCAGTGCTGACACGTCCGCGTCTCCAGAAACTTCTTTTTCTCTCAGAATGCTAAGCAGAGAACTTCTCGCCCTTTCGCATTCTTTAAAAACGACTGTAATCCTTCTCTTGTTAACCATTAAAAAAAAAAGAGAGAAACACAATCAACAGCCTCAATCTCATTATTCTCAAGGTGAGTTTCTTCTATCATCTCAATCGTTTCGATTTTTTTTTTTATAATCCTGTGAGTTCTTTTTCCCAATTTTCACGAATCCTTATTTAGTATCGTGGACTGTAATTAATTGAGTTCTTGATTGTTATTCATGATTAGTTTAGTTGCTTGGATTTTCATCTGTTATGCATTACTTGTGATAATTAAATGATTGCTTGGGATCTTAGGAGATGATCTCTTTAATTAGTAAAAGATTGCAATATTTGTGGATCAAATTCGATGCATGCTATTAAATTAAAATCAAATCACAAAAAAATTATATATGGCATTTAATTGAATAATAAGATTCCTTTTAGAAATGGGGAAATTTACGATCTCAGTAATTAGTTATTGATACTGTGTTCTTTGTAATTGTATATTTATGCCCGTCCTTTTCTTATTGAATTTGGTCCAGATGTCCTACACCAGAAGGTCAAGGTATTCCCTTTCGCCTTCCCCATACAGGCGACACGGCAGGCCTGACTCCAGATCATTGTCGAGGTCGAGGTCGAGGTCGAGGTCAAGGTCCAGGTAATGTCTTGTTTCCTATATGCATGCTGCCTGCTTTTTGGCAATCTCTCCATATATACTGTTTTCTTTAGTCTATGTCTGTCTAATGTTTTCATTTCTTCTGTATTCTGATTTGGTTTGTAGGAGCTCCTCAAGGGATGTGGAGAATCCTGGTAACAATTTGTATGTGACAGGGTTGTCACCTCGGATTACCAAGAAGGAACTCGAGAAGCATTTTTCCGCGGAAGGAACGGTAGGGATACCATGCTATTATTTTTCCTCCTAATTTTGGAATGTTATTAATTTCTTCGTATAGTTGAATCTCTAGTTTCTGAATTAACTGATCAAGTTTTCCTTTTCCTTTTCTTTTTGTTTATAGGTAATTGATGTTCATCTTGTCATTGATCCATGGACAAGAGAATCTCGTGGGTTTGGGTTTGTTACTATGTCTACTGTCGAGGAGGCTGATCATTGTATCAAGTATTTGGACCGATCTGTTCTTGAGGGTCGTGTCATTACAGTGGAGAAGGTAAAATCTTCATTTGTTTTATTCTCGATGAGTGGTCCTGGTTTTTGCATTTTGGTTGCTTAGCTCTATTTCAATTCCTACGGAAACTCTGGATGCCTATAAGTTCTTATGAGATTGAAAGTTGTTTTCTTCTTTCCACTTGAAGCTTCTGTGGCAGCAGGTCAGCTGTGTGTAGCAGCTCTTCATCACTCTCCAATAAACAACGAATCAAACACTTCAACAATTGTCAGACTGTTAGGGTTGTATGCCCTGAATCTCTCTCTTTTCAGCTGTTAAATTATGTGCAATTTGAAGTTATTCTATAATAATGATTTTGCTTGTTATATGCTGAACATCTGTTTTTAATATCCTATGAATAAGAAAATGTTTTTTCAACCTAATTAGTATGAGCTGTTTTTGTAAAAGAACTGCAATTCAATGAACTCATTTCTCCAATTTGTTGCAGGCTAAGCGGAAGAGAGGACGGACTCCTACTCCTGGAAGGTATTTGGGGCTGAGAACAGTTCGTGGTATGATGACTTGGTCATTGGTCCATATTTTGTTCATCGGTCCATATTTTTTTTTACTTACATTTTTTTTTGTTCCCTCTAGTGCATCGCAGGACTCCTAGTAATTCTCCTTGTCGATCTCCTAGCTACTCTCCTTATCGGGGGAGCAGGAGGCGGTCACCACGTGACAGGAATAGATCCTACTCCCCACGTTACCACCAACACAGATCATATTCTCCTTACTACTATAACCACCACCGATACCCCTCTCGATCTCCATCTCCATACAGTAGGTCCCCTGTTGGCAGGCATGATCGGTCCTACTCACCTTACTACTCAAGGCATTACTCACCAGATGACAGATACCATAGAAGACGCCACTATTGCTCTGTATCTCGGAGTCCTACTCCATGTAGGGCTCGTAGGAGTTCAAGGAGGAGATATTCACTAAGCATCTCCCCTAGCCCATGGAGGAGGACCTCAAGGAGAAGGTATTCACGCAGTGTATCCCCTGCACCAAGGAGGAGCTATTCACGAAGCATCTCCCCTAGCCCATGGAGGAGGACCTCAAGGAGAAACTATTCACGCAGCATATCCCCTGCACCAAGGAGGCGTTATCCACGAAGCATCTCCCCTAGCCCAAGAAGGAGAAGCTATTCATGCAGTGTATCCCCTGCACCAAGGAGGAGCACGAGGAGGAGTTATTCTAGAAGTGTGACACCAAGGCTAAGGAAGAGCTCGAGGAGGAGGGGGTGCTCTCGAGACAGCAGCAGTGCAAGCCCTACTTCCAGATGTGCCTCTAGGTCTGTCACCCCTAGCTCGGCTTCAGCATCTCATTGAAAGTAAATTGAGGCTCGTGCAGACCATATATATATATATATATATATGCGAGGCTCCTGTAGGTTTGCGGAATCGTCTTTTGGGAGTTAAAGAAGTGTAGGCATGAGAGGCTCCTGTAGGTTTGAGGAATATGTCTTTTGGGAGTTAAAGAAGTGTAGGCATGTGTGGTAATTTTCCGTATTTTGGAGTGCCTTAGGTGTCCATGTAGTGACAGTTCCAGTAAGTAATGACTATTGGCTTATTAAAAATAAGAGACTTTCCTTTATGCATTTTTTGTGGTTGATATGTTTGAAGTGTTCCCAGCGAATGTCTAGGAGGCTCTTGCACCATTTCATTAACACCAGACCGGATACAGATTCAACAAAATCTAAAATGCCTTCCTACTCCGCAGGTAACTTAATTAATTATGAATTCTTACCAACACTACAACATTTATAAAGAAGCTTGTATTAACATTCTAGGACAAGCCTGTGGCGTGTAACAACATGCGTTCTCCTTCGTTCTCACTCCTCTTATACATTAATTTCCTCCTACGTTTAGACATTGAAGGTTCTCTTTTTAACATGCGAGACTTGTTTTGTAGAATAATATAGTGATAAATGGATTAATGTTTAAAATGCCGGGTGCAAGAAATTTGGAAAGATGTAAAAAGAAAAAAACGCTAAACCAGTTGTACAGGAGCCAGGCATGTTCTCCTTGTGATTAATCACCTGCGAGGATCTGTTGTTAACAGTTGGGTTACAACTCCATTTTGCTGAGGGTGATGGCTATCAAAGCCATCTGTGTTCCTTCCCGTAGCATGAGAAAGTGTTTTCATATTTGAATTACTTGTGGTTTTTCTTCCTTTCTTCCATCAAGCAACCAGGGATAACCGCATTATGTAAATATATTGACATCATTACTTGCTAGAAAAGTAGAACGCTGTGGTAAAATAGGAAAAATATAGTTCATTAGAAAAAGCATCACAGAAGCGTGACATCTGGTTTATTGATATTTTTCTACAGATTCATGTTTTGATAGAAAGATATGGTCCCTGTCTTGTTATCCTCCGTTTCTTTGCTCACTTGACCTGACTACAACCATATACATCATAAATTGAACGGCAGCGTGTGGTTGTAGTAGCAATTATGGTACCCGGCACTCCTCTATGTTCCAAATTTCCTTGGCGTATTGGGAAATTGTCCGATCACTGCTGAATTTGCCACTGCCAGCGGTGCTAAGTATAGACATCTTCAACCACCTCTTACGATCCCTGCAAGCAAAACATGGGAAAATTTTGGAGGTCAGGGCCATTCTGTAACCTTTACAAGTCAAGTAATCTCTCTTGCGCAACATTGTAGCACAAGTCAGTGTAGACGGAGTTAGTTTTTTTAACATTTTTTTGCTATTTCTTTTCCATTTTAGTTTCATGCATTTGGTTTTGGCCAAAGCCTTCCGTCTTCTTTTGTAGCCTGCAATTCTCATAATAAATTGCTAAAAAATATCGGCAAAGGAGTTGGCTTTCTAGCTATGCTTGCAGTATTGAGTGGCGACATATTTGGCCACCAGCTTAAAGTTTCAAGCAATATTGGATATAGAGCCATGACTGAGAAAATACCAGTCATGTCAAGTGAGTTACAAAAGAATTTTTTGTTGTGTTGGACGCTTTATCGCATTTAAGACATGGTAATACTGGAATATAAACCTCAAAAATTAAAACTGATGAAATGTGAAACTAGAGAAAGCAATTCCTTACTTGTAAGCTTCATCCGCTCTTTCCTGTGCATCCATGTAGCTTGGGAAATCATGGCCAACAAGAAAATAATCTCCACGACCATAACCGGAGTTCCCTTCTAGAGACTCAAGAAGTGGGTTATAGTCATAGCTTCCAAATGCTCCACTTCTTATATACATCTTGGCCTCTTCAAACCGAGGATCTGGTTTAAACTGTGAAATCAGCAAGGACGAGTGTTAGACAAGAGAATAAGGTCCTAGAAACACCTGGATAATAAAACTTTCAAGGAAAGGTAGTAGGAGGATTAGATTAAGCTAAGAAATGATGTTGAGCATTATATTTTTCATCCTATTTCACAAGGAAGCCATCCAGATGTCTTCTTTTGAAGCAGTGCAGGCAGTCAGGCACCAGTCTTATGATTCAAACAATTTAAGGAAGCTCCTTGCAATAAACATAATTTAATTGAAATCATGACTCCTTTTAGTAAGTAACGTCTCCAGTATGGTTTTATCATTTTTGACTTGCTACTAAAACCTATTGCTCTAGTCCATGTTTCTGGCTCTAGTAAGTTACAGCTTCAAGATGAATGCTCTAGCTACATTTCTCTGACTAGGATAAGGAGTAGTCTTTCAATCAATAGATGCCCTTCATAGATTCTTCATCAAGTGTCAGGTAATTCATATTATATAGATGAATGCTTGTTGATCTGAAATTGCTAGTTTCTTACCAATCCATTCTCTCTTTCCTTGCGCAGTCTGGGGACTTCATCTGCTGTTGCACCAAAGAGAAAGAAATTCTCCTCTCCTATTTCTTCCCTGATTTCAACATTAGCACCATCCAAGGTTCCTATTATAAGGCAACCATTGAGTGCAAACTTCATGTTGCTGGTGCCACTTGCTTCCATGCCTGCTGTGCTGATATGCTGTGACAACTCGCTTCCAGGAATAAGCATCTCTGCCACAGATACATTGTAATTTGGAACAAATACTACCTGCAAATTCAGTCATTCATGGTACATAGGTTTAAATATGCCACATGGATGAAAACAAATATTCAATAAAGCGCACACAAACCAAAATCTCATTGAGCAAGCTGAAACACACAAACACGCTGGCTTGCAAAATCAAAATAGTAGAAGCACATACAGAAGTTAATCAAGGGGTAAATGAAAGATGAGAAGGTTAATAACATCTGAAGATTTCAAAATGTCTCAATCCTTATGGGAAAGAAACTGTTGGGTTCTTTATACACAGACTACAGAAAATTCGATTACTGAGGTGAGAAAAAATCAGCTACCCTTCCTGGAAGAGAAAAATGGGGAAAGAATCCAACAATCCAAGCAAATTGCATAACACAACTTGTTTGCAGAAGCAACTAAGAATAATTAAAAGGATAAACAAGCTTTTGGAAAATCCAAAATTGAAAGTGGATTAGTCTAATAGGAAGTCCATTCCATTTAAAACTACTTGATTCAGTATATTGCGCATCCACTATCAGTGGGGCATTTTTTTGTTGACACTTTTCCGATCTAAGGTCAACTGGTTCAACCAATCTGGGGGTCTTGACATGTGTTCAAAGTTTTAACCCCATAATAATGGCAGAAAATCATTTTTGTCAACAGTGTAGCTGCCTTGTTTTCCTACTGCTGAAGATGTATTTCAGTGGTTGCAGACGGTAAAAACTTATTCAGAAAGATCAAAAGTAAAAAAAAAAATACCTTTAAATAACTATTGACTTCAGGATCGGTATTGACAACAGTGCCAACATCATTTACCAGCTTTACAATTCTTTTAGCATTTGTATATGTTGCAAATGCTTTTCCTCCAAACATAATCGTACGTGGAGTTGTTTTCTTCCGCTCTTCAGTGCTCATCTCCTGCCATAGTTCAGTTTAAGGGAAGTTCAGAGATTGACAATGCGTGTTCTATCTCCCAACCACACATTGGTAAGAAATTAGAAGAATTTAAAGTCGGCCACAGATGATATCATCATGATCACACATAATAGGTGAAGCTGTACAGGTGGATTACAATGACGACAATAGGTGATCCATGCTGAAATAACCTTATTTTGGTCTAACAACTGTTTAATTAAGCACAGATCAGAAGGAAAAGGATGTTTTGTATTTTGTACCTTTAGTTTCTTGTACCTATATATTGCACCCAAAATATTTAGCAACTGTCTCTTATATTCATGGATGCGCTTGACTTGTATGTCAAAAAGACTATTTGGATCAATGCTCACACCTGTTTCTCGCAATATGTACTGTGCTAAACGCTGCTTATTGGCCATCTTGGCAGATGACCATTCAGCTTGGAAGTCTGCATTTTCAGCAAACTTTTGGAGGAAGCATCAGTATTGAATCTGGATCCATTACAATAGCAAGAAACCATCCCATGTACAGAATTCACACGAATTGAAAGTACTCACCTCTCGAAGACCTACAAGTAGGTCAAGGTTGGTGACCCACTGGTCAGTTTTCAACCATTTTGTAATTATATTACTGAGCTCAGGACTGCAAAAGCGGAGCCACCGGCGAGGAGTGATTCCATTGGTTTTATTTTGGAACTTTTTTGGCCATATAGAGACATAGTCTGCAAATAGCTCAGCCTTTAATATATCACTGTGTAACTGAGCAACACCATTCACCTATATTGAAGAAATCACAAAGTATAAAAATTAAGAATTTGTTTTTCAAATTTATCAAAGGAGTTTCAGATGAAGCCAGTTTCAGCTTCGAAGTGACTTGTCTGTGGATGTTTAGGGGCTCAAGAAGTCACAAAACATCCTACTTTACATTTGTTCTTCTATGATTGATCATTACAAACATCGACAACTCTGAACAGGGTTTTATGGTTGGTCCATGACCCTTGGTTGCCAAATGCATCCATGGGGCAATCTCGTGTAATGTGATAAAAAATCATATTATTAGAAAATCATTCTAAATTATAATTTAGAATTAAAATATTCTAATAAATTCTCAAAAGATCGATGACAAACAGGTAAAGAAACAACCATTATGTATGTTGCAAACAAGAAACGACTAGCATTATCTTGCAGCACTAGGTATTTGGACTCTAATTTGTAGTCTAGACCTGTGATGATTTTGTTTTCTAATCAAGAGAAATTTAAATTTAAGGTGAAAGATCTACCCTCAGGGAGAAATTATGGCATGCCAAGCAAGAGATGACTTATGTTTGCAGTTGAAAGGTGACCAAAAAATCCCATCAGGCCCAATCATTATTTGGAGAAGTAAGAGAGTTCATGGATACAGCTAGCTTCTGTGTGATTAGATTCCAAATGACCTCTTACCTTATGTGAAGATACCACACATAGATTTGCCATCCGCACAACTGGTTTCTGAGGATTATTATCCAAGATGCACATACTAGGAAGCTTGCTCTCAAGATCAGTTCGTGTGGTGCGTATCATTGTGATGAACTGCAAGATTTTCATATTTTATTCCCAGATCACAATGCAGAAACAGATATTGAGAAAAAGGAGAAGAAAAAAAAGGTGATGTACCCTCTTGTCTATCTCTTCTATGATTTCCATATGCCGCGGGAGAAGCTTCCACATCACAGACTGTGACCATTTTTCCAGTGCTTCAGGAAGGACTGTATGATTGGTATAAGCAACTGTCCTGTTTAAAATATTGATGCTAAATATTCAATGAATCGAATAAATATGCATGGAAAGACATGACCAGAAGTTGCAAGATAAAAATATAGTTGGAAAACAAAATTAAATCCTGAAAAAAAGGCACCTGGTTGTGACATCCCAAGCTTCATCCCATCCAAGTCCTTCATTATCCAGCAACAATCGCATCAGCTCTGGAATTGCAAGAGTAGGATGAGTATCATTCAGTTGTACGGCGACCTTGCTAGAAAATTCAGACCACTTCCATGATCCGTTCTCATTTTTTCTCTCCTTAAATCTAAGAATAATATCCTGCAATTGATTTCAACATCAGGGTTAACTGTCATGAAGATTTGAAGCACAAGAAACTGAACTTTATAGTTATTGCATTTCAACGAAAAAAGAAGTTATCCTTCAACAGATATCATAGTGGTGCTTGTGACAGAAAAGACATTGTAGAACATTAAGTGAGTGGCAGTTTGGAAAACAAATATCCGATTAAATTCTCTACAGTCAACTGCAACTTCACATCATTTGAGAATGAAAAGCAGCATAAAATCCTAGAAAACGTTAAATTTCTCCTGGAGCAACAAATCTAAAAGTATTCAGGGTTTCCTTTTACAAGAAAGTTGGCATCCCATTGATTTGATTCAGCATGCACAACGGCTGATTGCAGATTCCCTTTTGACAAAAAGTGGCTACCATTGCCTTTCATGAAGATGCAGTAACAGTGCAGCCAAAAAAAGAAAAAAAAAGTGAAGTGCCCACTTGACCAGATATGTCCAGAATGCAAAGAGATAACTATTCTGGTAGAAGTTCTTTACGTGTAACCCCTAGACCCCTTTTCCTCTCATCGCCACTTTCAAGGCATGATGGCAGACTTAGATGCTAAGGCATACATAAAACTATGAGGAATGAAGCCACATTAACGAAAGAAGAACAAATATCAAAAGTAAGTTGCCAACCTGAAGTGAAGCACTGCAAAGAAAGAATTGTTGCTTCAGCCGCAAAAGTTTTCCATTTTCTGTAGCATCCCCAGGATAAAGAACAGCACAAATCTGCATATGCACAATTATTAAACTAGTGTTTCAGAAAACATGTGAAATCTGCACGGATGCACATACTTTATTGAATCTGAAAGAATGTTAATCTGAAATAAGCAACAAACCGACAAAAAGAAGAGAGAAAAAAGGTCCGCTTTGGTTTACTGTGTGGGGTCTATTCTTAAAAAATAAGCCAAAAATGCTGGCCAGAGCATCCTTTCTGATGTGATAGTTGAAAAACCAACCTGCTGAGCTCCAGAATGAAGCTGTGAAGCGGATTCATACTGTCCATCATTAAATAGAAATAGATTGAAGTCGTCAGAAGAAGCTCTTGCTTCCCAGAGACGAAGACTAATGGTGTTCTTGGTTTTGTATCCTGGAATTGGCACATCATAGGCTAGAGCTTGCACAATGTCACCACCAACCCATTTTCGGCTGTATTTTATATACAACATGAAACAATCACGCAGTAAGCTCCATATCTTACACAAAGCAAAATGAACATAAGCATAAGAAAGAAAAGCACACTAAAAAAGAAATTCTGGTCCCTTCATCCATGAAGGCAACCTGAAACCACATTAAATTGAGCGATAATCTATTCAATTGAGCGATAATCTAAAAAAAAAAATTACGATCAAATTAGCACTTACGATCCATCAGGATTAACCTCCACTCGACCAAAAAACCTGACAGGAAATACAACATCATGCCTGACAATTTCCCAAGGACTGAACTTCTGCGCGAATCCAGTAAAAAGAAGAAGAAAAAAAGCATCAACAACTTCCTATAAAATATACAACATTTATTACAGCAGTGCAAGGCGCAACCAAACAAACCTCCAGCCAGTCCTCGGCAATTTCTTCTTGGCCCTCTTTGGTGATCCGCTGCTTGAACAGCCCATATCTGTACCTCAGACCATATCCCCATGCTGGCAAATTCAACGTTGCCATCGAGTCTAAAAAACATGAAGCAAGTCTTCCTAGACCCCCATTTCCAAGTGCAGCGTCTTTCTCCTACAAAATCACATTACTAAACATTACACATATTTTAACTCAATTAGACCAATGTTAAACTGAACTCCACCGCAAATGTAAATTAACAAGTTTCCTCCCAATACAATTCACCAGCCCACAAGAGTAACTAGATTCATTTTGGCCATGTCTGGTTTTCTTAGAAAAGGATTCCCATTAATTATTATTTAAAAAAAAGAAAATCATCTACTTGTCATTGCTTGTGGAGTTCTAATCCAACCTGTATTGGGAATTCAATTAACATTTCCAAATAATTCCATCAAACCAATTATTAGAATCCAGTAAATAATAATAGAAAGTTTGATGTAGAGAAGAGGAAGAAATGATAACCTGCTCAACAATGTCCTCAAGCTGATGCCCTAACTGATTCAAAGCCTCACCATAAGCATCTTGAATGTCAAGATTCCCAATTGCATTAGTCAAAGCTCGTCCTTGAAGATATTCCATTGACAAATAGTAAGTCTGCTTTGGATCCTCTTTGTGATAATGAACATAAGTCTCATTCCATTGCTGCGCCACCAATCAATTTATCATATCCACAAAAACAAACAAACAGTTTGCGAAATTAATATTAATAAAAAAAATAGAGTCAGTTACTTGAATGAGGCGATCGCGGACGCTTTCAGCAGTGGCAAAGTAGGCTTGTTCAGGTTCGAACTTGAAAGGAGAGAAATGAGGACTGAATTGTGCATGGTAATTTATATTTGATGCTACCTCTTCTGGTTCGCCAGCCAATGGGCGTGCGATTGGAGGTACTTTAGAAGAAGAAACCGCGGACACTGTTGCTGTACTAGTAGCAGCGCCAGCACTATTGGGCTTAACACTAGCAGGAGCCATTATTGATCCTCAAAAATCCCAACTGATTCTCAATAAGCTTTTCAAATTTTGTTTTAAAAAAAGCGAGCGAGAGAGCGAGTGTTTTTGGCAATCAGCGAAGCAAGTTGGAGAAAAATCAAGGAGATGAGATATTTATTTTGTAGAGAGAGGAGTGGGGTCTAATTCTAATCGAGGAAAAGTGAGAATATGCGGAAAGGCTGAGATTTTTTTAAGGGAAAAGGACAAAATGTGAACGTTTAGGCAAGGGTTAAAAATCTGCGTAGATGGAGAAGAGACGAGAAAGGTTTCTTTCCTTCTTTTGCCTTTATTTGAACCTCAAGTCACATGAGTGGGTGAGTGGGTGAGCATGGGAGTGAGTGAAGGGTGGGGAGACACAGCACGTTATTGGAGATAGGGGAGGTGGTCATCGGACCGTGACATGTGGCGGCATCGTGTGAGAGCGCGAACAACTAAGATGGCTCGAAATCCGGATCTCAAAAGTATTTTTTACCTCACTCTCCACGGGTCGGGTCCACACACGAGAAGATGGGTCATGTCATATGGTCACAGGATTCTCGGAGAGGGGTCTTCATGGAGAAGAGCCGTGAATGGTTAAATCAGCCAGCCTTTGGTCACTCGTGATTTTGATTACATGTCTGTTGCAAGATTCCAGTTCTCTTCTCCATATCATCAGACTTGGAAGCTTTTGGTCATTCAATTCCGCAGCAACCAGCCACATTCAGAGTCACCGAACAAAATTAAGAACCAGTTAACCTGTCATGGCGTTTCTGTCGCAAAAGACAGACACGAAGGGTGACAGAGAGCAAATCCCCTGTTAATAGAATGAATGCAGGCAGGATTTGAGATGTCTTTCAGTACTTCTGTTAGAATAACAATTAAACAAAATTAGCTTACAGCGAGGTTACTGATGCCAAAGAGATTGCAAGTGTCAAAGGCATAACCACTCAGTTCAAGAATTTGGATTCTATACAACCTGTTAAATATTACTATGGGGTATCCGACGTGGAGAGACCATCCACTTAACACGGCTTAACTGACACTCATGTCCCTCTCCCACAAGAGGTCTTGCGGTTCCTTTCAAGGGGAAAAAAAAGGTTCATCTATACGTAGGATTCGGGTTCTCTTTTTCCCTCACGGGAAATTTACAGAAGAGAATCGACAAACAAATCCCATAAATTACCACTTCATGCAGAAATGAATTTATAGCCCCCACCATCGTCAATACCAAATGCTGCTTCTCGACTCTTTTTTTCTTCTCTCCGAGGAAAGTCTGCAGATTGCTGAGAAATGAAAGCAGAAGAAGATGAACCACTTGCTCTCATGTCTTTTCGAATTCCCCATAGCACTTCACTGCATTCCTTCATGGAAGGCCTTGATTGTTTTGAAGGTGCCAGGCAGTGGCGTGCTAATTTAAGCACCTTCTCCATTGCCAAGGTTGATCCAGGAGTCCTCCTTAGTAATGGATCCATGACAAAAATGGCATCTCCTCCTTTTAAACTCTGCATTGCCTGCACAGGAAAGGTGTTCTTGCGCATTACATCATAATGTTATGATAGCAACATCTCATGCACGATGGTATTCTCATTAATCCACATGCAGCAACAGCACATGAATGTCCCATACACAGAAGTGGATTGTTTTGGTCGAGCTCCACCCGTGCGATGTTCAACATGTTACCTATATAATCCACATAGCTTGCATTGATAGGCCAGTTACCAAATATTGTATATCCTATCCTATGAACACATAAAATTGTTTTAAGCAAAAATTTGATTTGTTTAATATAACTTTCCCTTGATATCCATGGACCAAGTTTTTTTCTATTTTAAATAGAACCTTGCAAACAGAAGTTTTGAGTTGAGAAAGAATTTGTAAGTCCTAACCTAAAGAATGCAGATAAGAAATCAGGATTAATTTGTGGATTATTTGGTACAAAGGCATAGTTATAGCAGAAAATGAGCCTAGACCTTATGAGCAGAGGAATTCTCAAAACTCATCTTCAGCACGAAAGACAGAAGAACAATATTGTTATCAAGCAGCTTCAGAACTTGAATCCATGTATCATCCATCATTTCCCTTCCCTACTGTCAAGACTAAACCGCATTTTTCTAATATTTGTACCAATAATATTTATAATTATTATAACCACGCAGGCTGGTTGATAGAAACGTGAACCCAAAGATCAGCATGATAGTATTTATCGAATGCAAGCACCTTCTAATAGACATGTTTCCAAAATGTGATAAAATCTATGTGAACCAGGCATGAATGCTACATATGGTTTGATGGGAGTAAACAATATACTTGCACTGCAGGTTATGCTGTATTTGCGGGACTGGCAAGTTGCAACACTGCTGTAATGCAATTATTAACTCATATACCAGAATCAATTGCCTAGCATATGTGAACCCGGAGATCTAATTCAGAAAATAAAACAAGCTGTCCATGTTCCCTCGACTGATAGAATGAATGACACCTTGATGGCCCTCACTGCAAACGCTACCATCCCTAAATTCTAGGTGATAGAATGTTTGCAATGTGGGCACAGATATCCAGGTGTTGATTCATAGTTTGTCAAATCTAAAGATGAAATAACCGGGGATGCTCCAATACTTACCCATTTTATGGTGACTCTCTCTTTTAACGATCTCTTTTGTTCAATTGGGTGTCTTCCTGTCATCAGTTCAACAAGAAGTACACCGAAAGAGTAGACATCACTCTTTTCAGTGAGTTGATATGTCCTCAAGTATTCAGGATCCAAGTAGCCTGTTGATCCTTTGACTTGAGTAGAAATGTGAGTAGCATCAGAACCTTCTGTGGTCAATCTCGCAAACCCAAAGTCTGCCACTTTGGCTCGGAGTTTCTCTGTGATAAGAACATTCGATGATTTTATGTCTCTGTGGATTATTGGAGGATCTGTCAATTAAACAAGTGAAATTCAGATTTCTGAAAGCTTCTATGATCCAGAATATGAATCATGAAGATGTTCCAAATAAGTGAACAGATACACATGTCAAAACAGCTTTGCTAAGCTTTATAATAATGTTTTATAACCACACAGGATGGAAAATTTCAAACAAGCAAGCTACTTACATTTGAGATTATAAATCCAATCACTGATACCAAATATAAACTAAATGCAACATCCATCCAGAATTGATCGGTCACAATGCTGCTAATGTTGTATGATTGAATCAGATCAGTACAAACTTTGAATGAAAACAAGCTTGTACCTGTATATGTGTGAAGATAAGTGACTGCGTGAGCCACATCAATTGCAATATCTAGCCGTTCAGAAATTTCAAGTATACTTCCTTTCTTGCCTGCATCGTGCAATGCCATCCTAAACACATTAGTTAATAGTTACAGGAGTACTTTTTCTGCTGCTGTAATACATTTTCCATTGATTGTTAAAAAGGAAAGCGAATTGGTATAATTGGGTGATATAAACTATAAGCTTTAAGCTTCTGGCATAACAACCTGCAATTGTAGTGTGATAACCATGTATTAACAGTTGAAAAACATTTAAGGGCTTGTACCCTGTATCTGATTTTCTGGATCTTGCAGACTAAAATCAATTGGTTGGAATTTGAAAACTTACTGCTCCTTCACTTACCATCCAGATGTTCTCGAAGATTTCCATTGCCAACATGTTCAACCACAAGGATTCGCTCATCTCCTTGCTCCACGTATCCATAAAATCTCACCAAATTCAGATGTTCAATCTTGGACAGGGTAATTGCTTCATTCTGGAACTCCAGTAACAAACGCTTGTCATGTGTGTTCTGCGACACAGCGTCAAGTAATTACCAACAGCGGTAACAGATGGACCAATTCTATGCTTCTAAAAAAATAAACAAGATTTCACTTTCTTCCCTTTTTTTTTTGCCTTTTTGTTAAAATATTCACATCTAACCAAAGAAACAGAAGCTGATGTAAGGGTTACTGAGGTCACATCTCTTGTTCTGTCGTAATATACCTTTTTAGCACGCTTCACTGCAACAAAAGATCCATCCCTGAGCCTCCCCTTGTATACGGTAGAAAAGCTACCGTCTCCAATCTTATTTGCAGGCGAGAAATTATCGGTCATCTTAAAAATCTCTTGAATGGAGAAACCACCTTCCCCAACCATTCCACTTGTGGCACTGGAAGATCCACGGGTACTAGAGGACTTGAATATCGATGAACTCTTACTTCCTGTTGAAAGATCAGTTGAAACTGCTAAGGAGGATTAGTGTCTGATGCAATAAACTGTTGAAAAACAATCAGAGAATAAAGGTTGACTTTTGATGTCATTGTACTTTTCTCTACTTCAAAAATTCCTGGACTGCTGCAATTTCATAGCCAAACTACGAGTATTTTCATCACACTACATTGATTAAACAGGGTAATTGTTTTGTATATCATGGAGAGAGCTTGTCTCTCTTTAGGAAAAGGACACGCAGCATGACATGTTCTGTGAAATACGCGCCAGCCCTCCAAGCAAGCAACTTCGTTTGAGAGATATACATGGAGATTAAGCGAAAATTAAGATAACTTACAGGATATCCCCCCGACTTGCTTGTTGCTTTTGGCTGCATCAGTTACAATGTCGTCGGCCTTGCTTTTTCTGGGAAGCAATACTGTAAAGGCTCCAACCACTCTTTTGAATGCAGTTTTGACATAGCTCAAGACAGAACGATTTTTGCTAGGGCGCATGTTTGGTTCATGTTGGAGATAAGAGACCTGTTTTGTTGGGTTCGTGTAAGGGGGATGGGGAGATGATGCTTTCTTCATTTTCAGAGCTATGGCCGTCTTGTATGATTGGGTTGTGGCTTCAAGTGGTTGATTTTTGTTTAAACCAGAATAATCGTGTATTCTTCCATCGACCAATTCAAACAAAAATGTTATTTAAAGTTTTTTCGTAAGCCTAAATAATTGCAGTAATCTCCCACAGTCCCAGTCAGAAATTTAAATTGAATGGCCGGGTCAACAGAACCAATTAATGATACCGAGTCACCGATCTCATCTGTCCTCCAGGAAGATTAGAATCTGGAAGTAGTGCACAAAAAAAAACAAATCAGGGGGGTCATACGTGAACGCGGGGAAGTAAACCCTTTTGGCCTTTTTACGGACTTTGACCAGATTGTAGACCACTTGTGGCAGTTTCACAGGGCCTGCTCTGTTGGCTTTTAGTTTTTTTTATCTTCAACCGAAACCCAGCTCATCCCCCTCCGTAAAAGAATGTTACATGGGTGGGAGCATGATGGAATCTGCTTCTTATTTTCCAAGTGTATTTGGGAAGCCAGGACATTTTCTGGCAAAACATGTGAGAAGTTTGACGTGATAGGATTACAGCTTACCTGCATCTCACAACATTCCGGGTTTATTCTGAGCAATACCAGCTATCAGATGGTTATTTTTCAGTGTTTTGAGACATCATCTCAGTTGCTCTTAGCCATGGAATTGTGTTCTTCACCATGGACTTTCTTAGAGAAAGAAATTAGTTTCTTTTAGTAGTTCCAATTCTCAACCCTGTCTCCTTGCTTGGCTATGGTGGTTGCATTTACGAGTGCATCAGAAATGAAGCGATGGGATGCTATGGCATCATAACGAAAAGGCTACCAGAGGAAAGATGAAGAATGACATTCTTCGGAGAATAAGCAAACTGAGGAGGAGGAGCTGTTATACAGGTGGATGAACCTGGACCATACCTCTGAAAATCTTACATTTTGTTGGTTGAAAACCCCAATGCACCTGAAACAGAAGCTCTGGATACTTGGGACTGAGGGAGTTGCACAAATAGCCACTGTACATTCTTTGATTTTATACAAGAAAAGAAAAGAAAAAACAGACTAACAGCCTATCTCTTTAGAAGGGGGATGATAATTCCCACTGCGAAACCTTCTTTAACATTCCTGAGCTCCTCTATCTCTTCTGTAGCAATTGATAGAGGTTTCAAACTCATTCAGGGGCCTGAAGAGCAAAAATACTTGCATTACAAAACTAAAATGAGTAATTAAACTGCTTAAATATGACAAGAACGAAATCATGTGACCAGCTCAATAGTTCAGAATTAAAACTTTCAGAAACTAAAAAAAGGGCGACCAATCATTGATTTGCATGTCATGTACGCACATGGGATGCAAACATTGCCTTTTTAGTGATGTCGTGCCTGACTATTGTCGTGTTGATCATGGTGTTCAAATACCAGCATGTTGTTACTGCGAACTGTGCTTCCAAGCTTTTACAAGACAGTAGCAATACACTCTAGTACAATAGCTGGAAAGCAGGTATAAATAAAACATGAGCTCAGTGGAAATCATGAGAGCAATAGATTGATCCAGCTAAAAAGAGAGAAAAATGATACTGACCAGTTTAATCAAAACTCATTCTCCAGTGGAGAAGATGTTGTAGAAAAGAGCAGCAAGAAAATATAAGAGCAATGTGAGCATCAAGATTCCACGGAAAGAACCCACTAGTTCAACAAAGAAACCAGCTCCAACAGTTCCCACAATGGCTGTTAATGTTCCAGCAGTATTCAATATTCCTACAAGGAAACAGTGAGCAGTTGTTAACATACCACGCTAAATTAATGTTTTGAAGTTATCAAGTACTATCCTGAACAAGTAAAATCAGACCAAACTCATTATATATAACAGAGTTAGTGGTACCGCGTCAAACACCAGAATCATGTCGTGGATCTTCTGGAAATGGAAAGAGAAAAAACTAGACAAAACCAGAGAGAAAAATGACTAGCATCTTAGCCTTTGCATCCTTCATTACACGAGCCTGAAGATTCACAAGAAAACCTGAATGACTTTAGTCCAACAGAAAAGGCTAGCCAAGCAGAAGCAAGAGATGGACTTCTAGCAGTCGTCAAACCAATAAGAGCAATACCAGCACCAAAAAAAGTTTTACGAGGAAACCAAGGTTGCATGCATGCAAACAGACAACGAAAACAAAATATAAGGCATACAGAGGGAAAACAAAATGCCGACTCAACTCTCAAAAACCTATCTTCCAGAGTATATAGTTCAAACATTGATTTTCATATATTTTTTCACAAAATGTGGGTGTGTGAGGAAGAGGAGAAAGAAATGAGATATGGTTGCAGTCGTATGTAAAAGAACTTGAAATTAACATCAATCATGACGTAGTTCAGGACTTCAGTCATACTTCAACAAGATAACAGTGTTTTCATGGCGCCTACAATTTGATTTGAAGGACAGCATCATATTCCACAATCAATTTATGTAGAGAGCTGTTCAAAGAACTTCTCTGAGAGAATAATCTCCACATGAAAAGACTTGCTTTTACTGGAGCATGTCTGGTTGTATCACAAGAAAGTACAGACAGATAAAACAAACATATGACAAAATCTTTACAAAAGAAGTAAAAGAATTCTTTTTTATTTCAAGCCCTTCGCATCCGGAGGAACATATAGATGATAAATCAAGAAACTTCCGCAAGGACATTAAAATCATAGACTGTGTAAATAGAACATGTAAATATGCATTTTGATCATATAAAAAAAATAAGCAGGGAGACACCTGCATGATTTTTCAACTCAAAGTGACACTTATAGCACTGCGTATCAACATATCTGACCACGTACCACCAAAGTATCCCATGAATCCCATCACCCTCCATGGAACAGCACTAAACCATGGTGCATGTTTGAGGTCAGCATGATATATCTGTTCACAACATTCACTATAGCATATCTTCCTCTAGTAAATATGTGCATACAATGCAATAGAGAACCACAGTTAAAGTGATAAAGTTGGCCTTACTGTGTTAAAATAAATGGGCATCCAGGAGAGAATAACAAAAATCCCTGCAGACTTTTTTAAAACCATTTCAAAATATCAGTACCAGAAGGTGATGGTGTTCGTCCTCGGTAGAGCTGAATCTAGATACTGGAAGCAAAGACTTGCACATAGTACAATCATTCTAAGCATCATATTCGGCACAAGAGAGGAAAAATAATGACAGATTCTAGATTAAAGTATGATGTGTGAAGTACCCAGCTATGTATGGTGTTGGCAACAATTAAGGACCAAGTTGGCATCTTAGAGAGCAAGCGCATGAAAGGAGGGATTATTCTTCTTGTCTTAGATTTATTCTCCATGGGAAAAGATTTCCACTCCTTGTTTAATATGTACTCCAATTCATACTCTGAAATCTGGGAACTTCGGTCAGGAGCACATGATATTGCAGATAACCAAACCAAAACCCACAGGAATCCAGATAGTCCAAAAATCACAAATGGACCAAATATACTGCCTTTTGACAAGAGGATTGGAGATTGCATTGAGTCCTCCTGCATTTCCAAAGTTGAAATCTAGCCATTGCAATCCCAACAGCCCTGGCTCGTTCTGTCAACGGGAACCATCTAAAAGAACAGGTTTATACACTTTCTTCAACATTTTAGCTTCACCGTCTTTTAAACTACAAAATAGAATCACGCAGTCCATTGTAAAATCATACTGGCCGGAATCAAACAAGAGAATTAAATGAGACCAACAATACCTTGCTATCATGTTGTTCATACAAGGAAGAGCCACGCCATCAGCAAAATGCCTAGCATTGCTCGCGCAGCAAGTAGAGCCCATAATGAAGTATCCGCCGCCCACGGCATACGAAATGTACCTAATGACCACTAGGCAACACCCCATCCCATCACTACCTTACCACCATAATAATCCACTCGCGTCCCTACTGCTATTGGCGGAATTACATATCCCCACCTAATTTTTTATTTTTTTTGGAAATTGATCGTATAATTTGTTAGAATTAATCCGATTGGCACGGTTAATCATATAGTTATTTAAAAGAAAGGGTGTCAGCACACTTGTATTTTGCATTAATGAAACAATTAATTAAATTTATTTAACATTTCTAAGCAACTAGCATGAGAAATTCAAGTTTAAATACATAATTAAATAAATAAAAATCACCTGAACAATACCGGAGAAGGATCGGCTCCAACCGTGAGCAAGAGACAAGAGTGCAATCACCGCTCACATAAACACATAATCAGCATTACAAAGAGTCAGTGCCAAGGCAAGCATCGACACCACTTTAATCCTCTCTGATGTTATTTCGGAGTCGTTAATTCGCGGTAGAATTGGGAGTGAACTCGGTGAAAATGAAACGTTTCTAGAGCAGTTTTGGTTTGAGGAATTAACGAAACGATAAGGTTGGAGCTTGAAACGCGCAGATTTGTGATTTTGAAGTGGAATTAGAGAGCGAATTGGTTGATTGAGAGCGAGCGCGAATTGGTTGATTGAGAGCGAGCGAAGACTTTTCTTTTTTCCTCTCTTTTTTGTCTTTTCTTTTTTTTTTCTTTTTTTGAGTGACTGTTGCTGACAAACTAGCAGCAAAGAATAGCAAGTGTGGGGAGTTATGAAATGATAGGAATGCCCTCACTTGGTAATTCAATTCTCTAGGTGAATTTGTTGTTTTTTTGGGAGTTTGAGGCGTTTGAGGGTTACGGGGTTTCAGAAGGCTTCTGTTTTGGAGAAGAAATTACGTAGGTGTGTTTTGAAGGTTGTAATTTAAAATATTTTTTATTTTAAAATAATATTTTTAAAAATATACTTTTATTATTAGTATATCAAAAAATAAAAAATTAATTTTAAATTAAAAATTAAATTTTTAAAAAATACAATTTCAATTACATTCTATTATTAACTAACGCCAACAATTAATCAATAAAGGATCTCGTTTTTCACTGTGCTTCAACTGTTCATTCACTCACATTTATAGTTACTAGTATTGTTCATTGACGCCTTCTCTTTTCTGGATCTCCAAAAATTTTATCCTTTTGCTTTGATCATTAATTTTTTCTTCTTTTCAATTTGATCCTTATAAGCTATGTTATCATGGTTTTATTTGTTGGGATTTATTTAGATTTACATGATATTGCGTATACAGGATAAGGGAGTATTTCAACATAAAATGAATTATCTCTTTAATTTGATCCGTTGTCATAGTTTTGTTTTTTGGAATTTACTTCAATTTACATAATTTTACATACGCAAATGTCAGAAATATTTTGGTATAAAATGAATTATCAGTTGTACATAATAGGATTTTAGATTATTGTGTAAAAACATTAAAACAATAAGAAACAAAATCAACATAAACCAAAAAAATAAAATCTATTGTTTTAGGATTTTATATATCAATCATAAACTTTATTTTTATTATATTTTAATTCCTAAATATTGAAAAATAAAAGAAAAAATTGTTGAAAAAAATAGAGAAAAGGAAAATGATTAAGTGAGTCACATTTCAATAATAATAAAAAAAATCAATTATGATATCAATAAATCATGTCTTAAAGATCAATCAATTATATCTTAAAGATGAGAATTCAATGAAAATGACACGTTAACTTGTTAGAGTGTTGTTAGAGTGTGATTGTGATTATTTTTTAAATAATTTTTTATATTAAAATATATGTTAAATTTTTTTATTTTTTAAAAATTATTTTTGATATTAACATATCAAAATAATTTAAAAACACTGAAAATATATTAATTTGAAGTAAATAAAATAATAAAAAATTTTAATTTTTTTAAAAAATACTTTTAAAACACATAAACAAAAAGTCCTATAAATTTTTAAATTCACTAGGGGTAGGGTTGGTTAATTGAGATTACTATAATGTTTTTGGATATTTTCAAGTAAAAAAAAAAGGTTTTCACATATTTTTTAGTCATAAAAAATGATCAGAAAATGCGTTCTAAAAGGTAACATTGCTTCAACATGTCTTAAAACATTTGGATTTGTATTATCGAGTCTCACTGTCATATCCATGCGGCGGAATCTTTGGACGTGTGCGTGCTAAGAATGCAGTGATTCATTCTAATATCTTATTAGCCTATGCATGCATCCATTTCTGTAAAAATAAATAAAGATCTTGTTGATGGCAACTCATATGAAATGAATTACCGGGAGAGTTCATTATCCATGAATGGCGACCAATCCATAATCGAAATGGGACAGGAACCAAAAATGTTGCTTCGTTTTACATCTCCGACGTTTGATTTTTAGTACTGCCGCTCTAAACACTAATTTAACTGGTTTGAGCATGGAACAGCCCTAGTAAATTTACTGCTCAATGGTCGGAAATCTAGTCTTCCTCTGCAAATCATGAGGCACGGGGCACCCATTTTCCAAGCAAAAAACCCATCCATTTTCAAGCTTGACAATCAAGATTTCAACATCAAAATGAATGACAAACCGAAATCAAAGCAAGTTACAGAAATTCATCTTATTGGCAACATGCAGGTATTTATGTAGATAATTACTGGGAAGATAAATATGCTTGACATACTCTTGTCTACCATCGTACTTGTAGTGAAGTATAATCTGCACCCTAAACTTCAAGCAAAACTCAATACAGTCACATTTTGCTATTATGTTTGCCAAACAGGGAGTGTCGACCTTCGGCAATTAACTCCCCTGTTGCTTTGTTTTTCACAAGAACAATTGTTCCAGCATAGCCTCCATTTCGTCCTAAAACCCTCGCAGTAATCTCTAATTCATCCTGCAATTTTCCCAGAAAAAAGATGGACAATAAGTTAACACGCCAATCATATCAGCACAATGCAAGATCTAAATCCCAGGCTATCATTACGTTATGAACAGAGAAAAAATAGCCCAGATACAGACTCTGAAAATCATCGATGATCACTGATGGCAACAGATTACACATTACATGTAGCAAAAATTAACATGACATATATCAAGGTGCTAATTAAAAAAAGAAAAAAGTTACATGTGTCAAACGCAAAGTGAGATTTCTCCTTTCATATACTGAAAGGAAAGAATTGCGCTTACATTAACGTTTGCAGTGGAAAGAAAAGAGATGGACATATCCACGGAGACAAGAAAAGGGATACCCTCAGCTTGGGCAACTACAGCACCTCCTTCGTCAACGAGGTTTGCAATTGCCCCGGTTGCTAACTTCCCATTTCTATCCTGCCACGAAATATAAAATAAATCCCATAATATGATCCATTAGTAATTCAAATCAGTTCGACTGTGAAACCCAATATACAATTATCCATAAAATTAAAAATCCCAAAATTTATAAGGCCTCTGGCAATCCAATTAAACAGAGAGAGGGGAGTGGTATGTGTATTTTCTTACAGTGAGGCGAGGAGGGACCTTGAAAGTGGTAGAGATGAACCCGGGTTCAATCCGGTCAACTTGGATTCCTCTAATAGAAAAATCTTCATAGAAACTGCGTTCAATCCATGGTCGGTGAGGGTGAAACTTGATTGAGGACACGCTCTCTGATTCTTCATTGCTCAGATTCAAAAACTCCCTGGCCTTCTCCATCTCGATTGTCGTCTAAATCTTTCAACTCTCCCTGTAGCTGTGATGGTTCTGGTCAATCGTCATTTCCAATCCCATGAACCTTTTTAACCTGAGTTATTAGGCGTGGCGTCCTTATCGCAATTAAGCACGAAGTTTCGTATTAAACAGAGTTAATTAAATAATTAGCAGTAGTTCAACTAATATGATGGTTTCTCACGTTCTTGATAATGTGGTATAGGATAATTTTTAAAATTATTTTTAATTTAAAATATATTAAAATAATATTTCTTAATCAATCAAAATTATAAAAAAAACATAAAAAAACACGTTAATTTAATATTTTCAAAAATAAAATAAAATTTTAAAAATATTTGAAAAGATAAAAATTATCACAATATCAAAAAAGTAAGAATTTAAATTCAAAAAGTTACGAGAACCATGATCAATAATAAACTTCATTATAACTTAATCCCTGTAATTTAATGATATTAATTAATTAAATTATAAATTATAAATTCAATCCCTATTTTTTAAAATAATTATTTATAATTTAGTCTTTTCAACAACTTTATGTTTTTTTTTTAAGTAGAAAAAAGAAAAGAAAAGTAGATATGATAAAAAAAAAATGATTCAAAATACATTTTAAAATATAAAAAAAAAAACCACTAAATAAGGATGATTAATATCAATTAAAGAAATATTTAATTATTATTGATAGCATAAAAATATTTAATTAGTTTTGATATTTAGGCCCCATTTGTTTGCTGAAAAGTAGTTTTTTTAAGTAAATTCTAAGAAAGTGAATTATTTTTTGATGTTTCGTAATGTAATGAAAAATAAATTTAAAAATACTTTCCAGTATTTGGTTATGTTATGAAAAATAAGCTGAAAAATAACTTATCAATATTTTTTTAATTTATTAAAATAATGAGGAAGGAACCTTACAGATTAAAAGGTACAATGAGAATGAAATTAAAAAAAAATATATAATTTCATAAATTATCTCAAATAAAACAAATAGTAATCAAAATAATAGAGATCAAATCTAAAAAAAAAATGAAGAAATTAAAATATAATGATTAACATTTCATAAATTATTTCAAATAAAATAAGTAACAAACAAAAGAATGAGAATCAAATTTGATAGATAAAAATCTCAATTAAAAAATAAAAAGTAAAAAGTAAATAACAATTATAAAAATAAGGATCAAAGTTATATAAAAATTAAATTATAAAGGATGAAATTGAATATATATAGCAATCAAAAGTTTGAAAACTAAATTTGATATAATCAGCAAATAATATGACATTTCTAAATTATTCATAACTTTTGGCAAGTGTTTTCTATCTAAAATAAAAGGAAAATGCTTTCTTGAAAACTAAACTAAATTTTTCTTTAACTGGAAAGTGTTTTTTTCTTGATTAACTTTTCTAATGACAAACAAATATAAAAAAGTTTGAAAAATAATTTCCTGAAAACAACTTTTTAGAAAACAAATGCATCTTTAATAACTAAATTTGTAAAAACCGGTATTGATTATATTCTCAACGGTTTTGTCACTATGTAGAATGATGAGTTAGGAAGTGTTTGAAGATGTGGTAGCGGTTGTTTTTTAAAATATTTTTTAAATACATCAAACTAATATATTTTTTATTTAAAAAAAACTATTTTAAACATCAATATATTAAGACAATCCAAAAGTATACATACATATGTATATATAAAATAAAACAAAAACTGAATTCAATTTTTGGCCAACCCCTATTTTGAACACAACACTGAACAAGGGCTGAACACACAGTTAAAAGGTATGGTGTTTTCACTACTTCTAGTTTTATTATGTAGTGTCTCCTAAATTAATGTCAATTGAAATAATTGATTTTACAAAATATAATGTGGTCCTTGATTTTTTTATAACAATTGAGCCCGTTGAACCAAAATTAAAACTTAGGTGTATCTTTTTTTTGGGGTGAGGGTTGATTTAAAATATAAGGGATTGAAGTGAAAAATATAGATAAATAAATAGCATCTTTATATTTATTTTAAAAAATTTATTTTAAATTTTTATCTTTTTATTCAACAGTTAATCGGTTTCTCTGATCTATAAAAACTACAATGTTAATACGATGATGTTAAAACTTAATGGAGTTTTAAATAAAAATATCATTATTTACATTTCATGTATTTATATAATATACAGATGGTTTTATTAAAAAAATGCAAATGATGATTTTTAATTTAATTTAATTTTTATTAATTTTAATATTTATATATATATGTAAATTATTGACACAAATGCAAAAGCATGTGCAAAAAACACCAGTGTAGAAAATGAAACTAAACGATACCCCAAATCTATTAAAACAGGCCCAAGTTTTGAAACCTAAAGTGAAACTATTATACGAGAAAATGATATGAAGGCCGAATAGGCAGGCCCAAACACTCGGACTGTAACAACGACAGAGCAGCCCAGGTAAATTCGGCAGGTTATTATAACATACCGTATGTTTATTTTTTAAAATATTTTTGTTTAAAAATACATTAAATTAATATTTTTGAAAATATGGTTGAGTTGTAATATTAATTAGTATATAGAGTGCTCAATTATTTTTTATATCAATATATTAAAATAATTTAAAAATATAAAAAATATTAATTTAAAATAAAAAATAAAATAAAATCAATTTTTTAAAAAAGTTTCTGAAAACCAAATCGGCCACCCAATGGTAGTTGGTTCAAATAATACAATACTTATTTTTTAAAAAAAAAAATGTTAAGTTAATTAAAATATATTATTACCAAAAAAAAAAACATTATCTCTTAGTTAGTAGGGTATACAATTTAGACTCGATTAATTAAGTTCCAACCTCTAATAAACTTTTAAATACCGCTGTTTTTATTAAGAAAAACCAAACCGGCGAAACAAGTTGACATTAAGGATCCTTGGTTTAACACTTCTCCCGAGATTGGCCTCGTAATTTCCAAGCATCGTTTTGGTGTCTGGGAGATAAACACGAGGGGGTAAATTTCTATGCCAATTGTAGTGTCGACGGTAGAGTTGACCAGCAAGTGTTTTGGACATACTTGATTAGCGCCGGTATCTTTATAAAAGAATGGGACTCTCTGGTAAAAGAGATGGAATCTTTACATCAACAGTTAATCATCTTAATTTAAAATTTCATTTTTTTAAAAAAATTCCCTTTTTATTTCCCTTTTAAATCTCTATAAAAAAAAAGGTTGAAAACTGATATGATGCTTCTCTATTCACACTTTTTTTCCTATTTTTTCCCCTATTTTACTGTATTAAATTTTTCTTTTTCAATTTTATTAATTTAAAACGGATTGTTATATCTTTTTGGTTTTTTTTTTAAGTTATTGTAATTTTAAAAAATTATGCCTACATTTAATTGAAATTTAATTTTTACATGTATGTATTTTTGTTATTATAATATTAAGTAAAGAATAATTTTTAAAAACAAAGTTTTTAAACCAACTGAAATCCTTGACCTGATTTTTGGGTTTTAAGAATTAGGTTGTAAATTTTAAATTAATCTAATATGTTATTTTTTGAATATTAAAAAAATAATTTTTTTTTTTAAAGTCAAAACTCGTTGTTATTGGTTATTTAGGTTACTTTTGGACTTACCAAGTCAATCAAATTGCATAAAATCAACTTCCAGGTCAATTTTAAACTCAAGTTAGATAATGAATCAAGCTGGATAGGTTTTAATGCTGTTTTGTTGGGTCCGATTTAATAATAATACAAAATAGTTTTTTTTTCTAAAATACATTTTTTATGTTTTTATTTTGATTGATTTTTTTAATAACTTCATATCTTAATATTTGGTTAATTTTGAAATGAATTTTATAATTTATTTTGATTTTTTTCTATGAGATTACTATAGTCTTTAATAAATATCCTGATATTTAATTGATGCTCAATTTTACGAGTATTTTTTTTTATTATCATATTATATCATTAAAGAAAGATTAATTTATAAAATTAAAGTTGTCAAATTCAATGAAATCCAAGATCCCAGTCATAAATTTTGTAGGTTAAGCCATGAATATTAGATTGATGTAAATTCATAAATTTTGTAGGTTAAGCCATGAATATTAGATTGATGTAAATATCACCATCTTACTATGTATATATATATATATATATTATCTCAATTTTTTCAAGTCAAATCAAGTTTTTTATAAGTTATTTAAATTATTTTTTGATTTGTCAAGTTAAACAAATTAAAAATTATTTTTTTAAAATAATTAATTTTAAATTAGTATTAAATAGAAATTTGGATAGGAAGAATTCATTGTTGAACTTTCAAGTGAAGTTTAATGATGATGCTAAATAATTTATTAATATTTAAATATTTTATTTTAAAATAAAAGTTTTTTTTTTTTTTTTCTGGATTGATTCAATCTGCAGCACGGAGCATGCACGAAAGTAGGCTCAACTAAAGCAGAAACAAAGCTTTCGACAAGACTTCTTCTGCTACATTTTACTTCTGCACCAAGCGATGCTCATGCTAGTTTACTTTAACTGCTTTACAAGCATAAAAACAGTGAAGGTGAAAACAAAATAAAGGGCAATGCTTCGATGACTTTCTCTTCTTGCTTTTTCTGTCAGCCATGAAATCCTTTCTGCCTTTGCTCGATTACGGTTCAAGGTTCCAAGCATCATGTTCTTATCCCTTTCCCTCTCTCATCTCTCCCTCCTTTTATTCCTCCTGTTCATGCAATGCCTGCGACATGAGTGAATTGTTTCGTCCATCATCATCGGAGGTTTCCCTCGAGTTTATTTGTTGAGATTTGTGACAATTAACATGCGGGAGTCTCACCGCAGTCGATAATGGGGGTTTAGGATTACTGTTTTTTAAAATGTTTTTTTTTTTAAGTATTAAAATAATTTATTTTAATTTTTAAAAATTATTTTCAATGCTAACATATTAAAATGATTTAAAATAAAAATAATTTGAAATGAAAAAATTCAATTTTTTTAAATACTTTTAAAATAAACAAACAAACAAACTAGATATTTTTAACAATTTTTGTGGGATGTATCTTTCAGCCGGTGATTGTTTTTAAAATATTTTTTATTTAAAAATATTTAAAAATATTTAAAATTTATTTTTAATATTAACACATTAAAAAAATATAAAATTATAAAAATTAATTTAATTTAAAAAATTAAAAATTTTAAAAAATATTTTTTAAAATATAAAAAAATATCCACTTCATGTGAAGAGGGTTTAAATCTTATTTTTAAGAAAATAAAGTATTTTAGTTATGTCCTGGATAGTTAAATTGTAATCAAATTAGAGATGTAAATTTAATTTCAATGCATGAAAACCAATTATAATACGTGTCTCAGCGAATTTTTTTACATAAAAAGAATGAGAAAACCTTGAAGCAAAATTTATTGTTGATTTAAAGAAAAGAAAAAAAAAATTGCATAGGGTTTATTAATTTTTTTTAACCTGAGTTGATACTCCTTGAAAAGAAAAGGAAGAAATTTTTTGAAAAAAGTTTTTCTCGTTTTTTTTTTCTTTAAATCAATGGTCATTGGCAAGATAGATTGCAAATCCCAAATTTAGAAGGGGTTTATTCAGGGGTTCTCCATCATTTTCCACTTAACCAGCCACCCTCTACTCGCTCCTACACGCTTTTGCTTATTCTAACCCTTCTCCCTCTCTCAAGCATGAGCTTAGCTTCCACTCCACACCACCAGCCATGACTCGACCACCGCAACCTCACCCCCCAAAGCACCACCACCCTTCCTGCCACCGTCACCCTTCCAAACCCATTACTGGATTCTGCGCCTCCTGTCTCCGAGAACGCCTCGCCGGCATCGACCCTGACACCCACCAAGAAACCCCCGTGACCCATCTTGCCGCCGAACTCCGTCGTAGCAAATCCTACTCCAGCACCACCACAAGAAACAACCCCAACAATAACAATGCCGCCGCCACTGCCACCACCTCTGAGCCCCGCCGCAAATCATGCGACGTTGGACCATTTCGTAACACTCTCTCTGATCTCTTCCACGTCGATGATAAAAGAAGAAGCTCCTCGATTGAAAAGACAAAGGGTTTTGATTCAGGGCTTGAATTAAAAGAAGAGGAGAATTTAGGAGAGATTAGGGTTTCTGCGCAGGATGCGAATAACAGTGAAGGGAATGTGGAGGATCTTGAAGAGGATGGAGAGTTAAAAACAATGAAAGAGTTTATAGACCTTGAATGGGAGAGAAAGAAAACTGGAGGGAGAGATCTCAAGGACATTGCGGGGAGTTTTTGGGAGGTGGCTTCAGTGTTTAGTAAGAAATTAGGGAAATGGCAGCGAAAACATAAAAGGAAGGAGAAGATAGATGGTGGAAATCTTGGTGGTTTGGTGAAAAATGAGAAGTTGAGTGTCAGGAAATTGAGAGAGACGCAATCAGAGATTGGAGAGTATGGATTTGGGAGGAGATCTTGCGACACTGATCCAAGATTATCCATGGATGTGGCACGGTTGTCTGTTGATGATTCTCACTATTCGTTCAATGAGCCTAGGGCTTCTTGGGATGGAAACTTAATTGGTAAAACTTATCCGAGGCTAACTCCATTGGTTTCGGTTATGGAGGATGTCAAGTTGCCTAGTGGCGGTGTTGAGAATGCAAAGGAGAATGATAGTCTGAAGAATGAAGGGGAAAGTAGTCCTGGAGGTACGATGGTAACTATGAATTATTATTCAGATAGGAGGAGGAAGAGTTTTGATCGTTCCGGATCTAATAGGAGAGTGGGGCTAGGGGATGAAGAGCTTAAATCAATGTCGAATGCCAAGGTGTCTCCTGAAACAGTTGGGTTATTCCATGGGGCAAAGTTGTTGGTCACAGAGAAAGAATTGAGGGACTCAAAGTGGTACTCTCTCAAAGATCACCGTAAGGAGAATGTGGATGCCGTTTCCAAATCTGTTAGTTCTTTTACTGGTGGCGGGGTTAGTAAGAAGGGTTTCAAATTCAAGAAGTCGCATAAGTGGTATGGCGTGTGGAATATTTGGGGTTTGATGCAGAGGAGTAGTCAGAGCAAATGTGGAGATGAGGAGAGCCGAGTTAGTGGACATGCGGTTGATGAGCCAATACCAGAGAATTTGAGTGGTGTGGCCGATGGAGAAGCAAACAGTATTGGGAGCCCGAAGCTTATTCGGAGCTATACTGTGAGTGCAAGGGATTCCTGCCAGATGGCTTGCAGTACAAATGGTGCTGAGAGTAAAGCGAATGGCATCAAGAGAGGGGAAGAGCTTTTGCTGCAGCGGAACCGGAGTACCAGGTATTCTCCAAACAACCTTGATAATGGCCTGTTACGGTTCTACCTGTCACCATTAAGGAGTTATGGAAGAAGCAAATCTGGAAAGAGTAGGCTAAAGAACACAAATTCCATGTCAAGGAATGTTTTGTAAAGGTGCATCAATTGTTTCAAAGAAATCTGTTGCTGTAAAGACACGAGTTAATGCGATTCTCCCTGTTCAATAGATAAAAAGACAACATATTTGTCACCTGTTCTCTGCTGAAAACGTGTTTCTGATAATGCAGCAATGATAATCAGAAAAATCTTTGTTTCCATTTAGATTATGTTCAAGAATGGTGCTTGTTTCTTTTTGTGATATATTCATGTGGAACTGAAGTGTTCCTGAAACTTGTTACTAATCACTCCCTCTCTATAGTAAAGTAGGCTCTGAGCCTTGGAAATGCAGTTGCCTGTCTAGAAAGATTGCGGGTGACTTTTGGATGAATGGAAGCATTATTACAGACAGGGATGCAAGCAAATTAACGTATCTGGCACAAGGCTTGGGTCAAGTTAACTTGATCCTCGACCACTGTTACTAGTAGTACTATAATTAGAGAAAGGAATCCAGTTTTACATGTTTCAGAGTGTTAGACCATGTGGTTTTTGCTAGTTGAGATTTGAAAAACTCAGCGGAAAGAGTCTGCACTGATCACTGGCCTCCATTGTCTTATTATTACCAGATTAAATCTCTACAGTGAAATCAGTGTCAAAGCTCTCCTTGCGTAGCTGTGAATTTGTAACGCTCTTATCTATGTAAGTGCAATACATTTGATGCACTTAAAGAAGATTTCTGGTGCTTAGATGTCTTGCTCTTCACTACGTGGGATTGTGCTTCACGTGTATAGCTGCAGGTTGCCGGTAGAAGATCTTGCTTTTTAGCTTTTTGGTGCAGGGGAAGATGCTTTCGCATAAAGGATCCAAAATTACTTCTGTGTCCTACCAAATGCTGCCAAAACACAAACCACTTTGTTATATCCTAGTCCACTCACTTTTTCTGATAAAAAATAAATAAATTAAAAACGGACATGACTTTTGTTGACTGTGATGCTCTCTCAATATTCTAGAACTCTTGCTGCACACTTTTTAGACATTTATCCAGTCGGCTGGACTGGTAACTGAAGTCTTCCAACTTCCTTGTTGATAGTGGATGGGATGGCTGGTGCGGTTGCTTCACTCGGGCAGCAGCTTCAATCCTATACCGGAAGGTTGTAAGATCAGATGCGTTGATTAGGTTAAATCCCCCTCATCTCTACCTTGTACCGCGGCTGCTAAACGGTAAGCTTTTGTGGGGCTGCGTATCCAACCCAGGCACCTTGTTACAGGTTTCCAGTAATTGCTTCTCTGATGAGTCATCATGTTCAGCGGACAGAATTGATTGGTGGGATCCTGTCGGGGTTTTTAGTAGGATTCCCCAATTTCTGCCGAGCAACGCCTGGGCCCTGGAGACTTGAACGGTAGTGTCTTATGCCTGCGTCCCAGCGAGTGCCCCTGACTGACGAGGACCTACTGCTTCCCGTCGCTATATAGCCACATAATTCAACGCAACCACCGTCATCATTAGTTTGATAGTGGTCAAGCAATTTCTTGCACAAGTTGTTCCCCCATCTCAACCCTTGAAAAGGCTAAAAGATTGTCCTCAACCAGAGGTGATAAATAGCAGAAGTTAGTGTTTGAGTTTAAAACAACCGTGGACAGATATGTTAAGGTTTCCATTTGATCTTGTGCAATGAATATTTAATCTCTTAAAATGAACATAATTTTTCAAAGGTGACTAAAATATGAGCAAATTTTACAATGTTGGCATCACTAAATATTTATAAATATAAATGACGAATGTCTATATTACCACTCAATCAAAGACATGGTTGATTGCAGACAAGCCAGAGACCGTGAAAATGAAAATTAAACGAGGTTTAAACTTTCAGACTGTTGGAAGTTGATATGCTAAACCTTTCAGTTTACTGCTGAAACTGCTTTAGACGATAGTGCTGCAAATTTCCAATCTTCCCAAATTTTACCGGTGACCTTAAAAGAAATAAATTGTTGGGTGCCATGAAAGGTTTTTTTTTTTTTGTATTTTCATTTCGTTATGGAGAGTAAAATATCCGAATCACTCTTAGAATTAGGAAAGAATTGAACTGACACAGGAGGCTTTTTTGTCTTTTAATTTTTATTAGCATAATAAAAAAGATTTAATTGCCCTTGGAGTTTATATTCTTAAGCATGCGGCTCAAGGGAATTTAGGTCATTGAGCATTTTTTTTTTGGTTGTTATTGTGTTGGGTTTGAAGTTGTTTTGTCTTTTAATAAATGAAAAAAAATATATTAAAAAATTATTTAACGCTTGTTAAGTTTGCCATTTTCAGATAGCGTGTGTGGCTAATTACAATGGTAAAAAAGTTGTTCTGGGTTGCTTTTGCTTTATCTTGGCATCTCCTACATGAAAGTAGGGCGAGGGCGTATAGGAAGAGAAGGGTTCCAGTTTGACACCGATGGATATATTTTTTTGTTGGTGTTTGTGCCATGCCCCCTGGATTTTCAAATCATTCCCTAAATTTCTCTTTATTTTTTATTTAGTTTATTATTATTTTTATTAAAATATTCTTTTTTATTTCATCGTTGTTTAGTTTTTTTAGTTGGAGATTAAGCTTTGGCTATCTTTTTCCTAATTTTTATATCCTATGTTTTATCATTTTTTATTTAATTGGATTATTTTTTTAAAAAATAAATTTTATAATTGAATTAGATAGAATTTATTAATTGAATATAAATAAATGCTTAATTCATTTTATTTTGATCGGCTATCTTCTCTTTTTTTTACCTCACTCTTGCAGCTTATGCAAAAAAAATTTATATTATCAATCAGACTTTTATAGTAAAGTTTGAATCATTTCATCCAACTTTTTTTTTTGTGATGGTGATATCTACAATTGAGTAACATTGAATCTCTATTGATTTTATTTTTTATTTTTTTAATGTATAATATTATTAGCTCATTTGTTTCAGTTAATTATTGTTAAATATTTTTTTGCAGTTCATCTACTACAATTATTTGTAATTTAAATCAAATTATTAAATTACATATCTTACTGGATCCGATCAAGTTAATAATTTAGCATCAAATTTTTATTGATTCTTTAATAACATTATCGTCATATGAGTATCATTCTATACACTAAAAATAATCCATCCAACCCACAGCATAAAAGTAAAAGCATATGGTCAAAAGATAGGGTCTAAGACCCCTCTCCTCAAATGCGCTTCACAAGGCACAATTCAATGTCCATGGAAACCCAAAGTGGGCCTCCCCTCCTAGTTGAGCTCGGTCATGGCCAAGGCTACAATTCGAACCCAACATAGATATGCTTGGATCTAACACTTTTTTGTTCTCTTTTCTCACCATCCTCCTGGATAATTATTGTTTAGCATTTAATGTTGACATCACCTTATTGCTCCATGCAAGTAGACGTGGCATCACCCTGTTGTTCCATGCAAGCAGACATTGCTTGAACTCTCATGAATCACTTGCAAGCAAGAAAAAAAACTCATTCACAAACACACCGAGAGCTTACATCCTCTTCTTCAACCTCTCAATATTTTTTGCACCCGTGCAATCAGACGGAATTCTATAAGAAATCGGGCGGGACAACATAACCTCAAAGGCTTACCTCCTGCTCGTAACTTTAGTATCCGAGGATCTAATATCTCACACATAAGACTTGTTTTGCAGCAGATCAGCAGAATTCTTCCTCATCAATCTTCAAAGCCCATCAATCAGTTATGAAAAGAACTAAAAGACCTAGAATCCAATTAGGTTCTCCATAAACCACATCAATTTTATAGACTAATAGACTCGTATAGCCTTACATCTCAAAACAAACGAAAAGGAAGTAGAGGATAAAACATAAATGACAGATACTTGCTTAAATTTCTAATTGTGTGACTAAGTGAAACATACACCATCTTCTTTAATCACTAGCCATTCTCAATGCATTTTGCATAATGAATTGCATTACAGATAGCAGCTTGCAGTTACCTTTGAAATCTTAATCATTACATCAAGCAGCATGCTATAACACAAAGATTACTGTCATAATCTCCATTTACAATCATCAAACATAAACATTAAACACATAAAGCATTCAAATATACAAAACGAAAATCTCCCATAATCAATCAACCAACCACTCTAATTCCCCTCGCATAACATAAAAATAAAAAAAACTCTCACTCAACATCATACCCTTTCTCTTGAAGTTCCTGAATAACCTCATTCCTCATTCTAAACCACAGCTTCTGTGATTCTTGCTCAAACTTCTTATCCTGCAACTGTTTCTGATAATTATACGAATCCTTATCAGTCTCCACAGTCCCTTTCGGCCCAATTGTCGTGCCAATCATTCCTCCCTTTGCAACAAACTCTTCCATTGCTTCTGCATCGCCTGGATATGGAAATTCTCGCCTCTCATACAAATGGGCAAGCTCTCTTTCCTCCTTTGGTTTTGGTTTCAGTGTCCACCAACCAAGTGGTGATGTTTCGTTGTAAACCCACACAACACCGACGAGAGTGTATGTGCAGAGAAGCGCCTTGCCTATTTGCTTCCAGAAGTAATGGTCTTCCTTTCCTAATCCTACTTTCCTCAGATACTTATCGTAATCCACTGATTTCAGATATTCAATACCTGAAATTGAAAAAAATGAAAATAAATAAGGAAACAGGTTCAACCATTTCATCGAGCAGCTGGAGCTCAAGTTGATTTAAAAAAAAAAAGGAGAAATCACCAATTTTTGTTCCTGATTTTATAGCTTCTAAAGTCAAATATATTTGTTGTGTTGCGTGTGTTTTACCTGTTTTGGTCTCTTGAAAACGTTTGCGAACCATTTTTCAGCTACGAATGGTGGTGAGAGCAGATCCTGTTGTTGCTAGGAGAGAGATGGATGATCGTGTGAGCTGCGCTTTCACAGTTTCAATGCTGCCTAGGGGCAAGGCATTGGTTAAAGAGGGGAAAAAACGAGAGATAAAAGAGAGACCACAAATACGGCCCATGTGAGTTATACTTGATCAAATTAGAAGCCCACGAGCTTATCGAGTGCCCACATATATATATATTTTTAAAAAGTATTTTTTAATTCAAAATATATTTAATTATTTTTTATATGAAAACCATTTAAAAAATATTTAAAATATTATTTTAATATTTTGTACATAAAAAATGAAAAAATAAACGAACATTAAATCTAGTCTCTAACTCCCCAAATCAGTGCTATTCTCTAAATAGTTTTTAAATTTAAACGTCTCTATCGTAATAAAAAAAAAAATTCATGAGAAATCATTTATTTATTTATTTATTGTCAAACAATCGTCTTACCCTTCTAAGACATGATAAAGTAACACAAGCATATTATAAATAAAATGTTGATCAATTAGCCTTTATTGTTAGATGCTAAATTGAACCCATTTAAATAATTAAATGACTCAATTGAATTTGTTTTGAAAAACTTCTCCCTCTGTGCAATGGAGTTCTTTTTTGCTGACCCGGCACCGTTTCAGCTCCCACATCAACTCCATTGCACGGGGAAGATTTTAGGGTTGAGGCTGCTGGGATTTTACAAGGATAATTTAATTCAGTTCCTGAATTTCTAGAAAATGCAATTCCACTCCTTTCCAACTGAGCAGCTTATATTATGGCCGTGATCGGTTGGAGCCAATTCACTCACATTATCAATTTTGATTTGCTATAAACATATGGGCAAGAGGATGGTTGTCTTTATTCGAGTTAAATCATTAAAATAATTTAATTTATTAAGCCCTTCTATTTATTATTTCCATATGCTATGTTGTTTTGTTTATTATAAGCATGTTTTTTATATTATGGTATGAATTTCTAAATATATATTTAAATATTTTTATATTTTTTAAAATTTATTTTTAACATATATGTGTGTGTGTAACTTTAAATAAAAATAAATATTTTTTTTTTTTGGAAATGCACGGCAGCGTTGCTAAACAATCTATGTCTTAAAGTTAAATAAACTGCTGAGGGCTGACTATGATTAATGTTGGATATATGGCAATAAAATAGATTAATATTTTTAAAAATTTGAATTTCAGTGATTTTTTTGTATATACAAAACAAAATATCAAAAAAGCTAATAAAAAAAACTAAAAAAACACGGCATTGAAAACCACCCCATCTGACATGCCCTCCTGTCTTGCATTCTTGATCTATCAAAAATGTAATTTATACTATAATTCTTTTGTTTTGTATTATATTTAATGCTGCTGCATTATCAAGTTCAAGAATTGGACACCCTCCACTACTCATCAGCCCCAGCTCCCACTGTTCTTTGAGACCTAGCCGCCGCCGCCGCCGCAAGCAATGTCTAGCCACTTTCAGTTTCTGACCCATTTAACTTTTAGAATGGCAATTTGTTTTATCACTTCATTTTAATTTAAGATTGGTTTGTACGCTTGGTTTATTCAATTAAGGGAGGTGGATTTATTGATGGATGCCCTTTTTTGTGGTTTTCGTGGGTTTTTCATAGTAAGTATTTGATAGCATGGTTGAATTATATTTTTAAATTTTTTATTTTAAATTAATTATTTTTCATGTTTTTAATTTGTTTCGATGTACTGACATTAAAAATAAATTTTAAAAAATAAAAAAAATACTTTTGTTCAAGAAAAAAATATTTTAAAAAGTAATTTTCATTATACTTTCAAATATTTTCTTGAACGAATAAAATTAAAAAAAATATCAATGTGAAAATTTGTTGTATGTTTTTTTTTTAATCAAGGTGGAGTTTGGTGGTGGTGAGATGTAAGAGTTGTTTAGAATTCTTAAAAATTGATTTTTTAAAAAAGATACATATTTTATGTTTTTAAATCATTTCAATATGCTAATGTAAAAAAAATTAAAAAAATATTATTTTAATATATTTTCAAGTAAAAAATATTTTAAAAAATAATTATTATCATAATTTCAAACATACTTATTATCAAGTTACAATTGATTAATGAGAGCTTAATTGTTGGGACTTGCTTCTGAAAAGTAGTTAGTTACATTTATAGATATAACTAGATTTTTTAGTATATGAAATAATCAAATTTTTTCTAATGTGAAAAAAAATTATTCATACAATGATCACCCAAACCATCACCCAAACCATAGTTAATTGACTATCATTTGATCCAAGATATGAGAATGAGATATCTCTTTAAAAAAACCAAAAAATCGCAAAACTTAGGGTCCAATAACCTAATATTAAAGGATAAAATTGAAAAAAAAATTAAATTTCTTTTAAAAATTTAAGTTAACTTGGGTTTACTCTACTACAGCAACACTTGTTATATAAGATTGGGATAGGTAAATTAAATTTTATAAAAATAACCTAGAAAAAATTATTAAAGTTAAATAAATAAATAAAAATATTAAAAAAACCTCAAATCAACTTGGATTCACTTGAATAAGTAGCGACTTGGGATAACCGTACTACAAAGAAAATGAGAAAAAAATTAAAAAACTTAAAGTCTAATAGTCTAATGTTAAAGAATGAAATTGATTATTTATTCAATTAAATTAAAAAATAAAATAAATTAAAAAAATAATTAAAGAAAACAATTTAAAAAAATAAAGATCAAAATTTAATGCAAAAATTAAACGAAATAAAATGTTGAGGGACAAAACTAGAAAAAAAATCAAGAAAAGAAGAAAAAACAGCAATCAAAAGAATAATAATTATATTTAATATAAAAATAAAATAAACTAAATGATAAGGTATGAAATTGAAAATGAATTAATAGAAAATCCAAAATAAATAAAAACTAATTAAAAAAAATTATAATTAAAAAATAAATAAATAACAAATAAAAATTAATTAAAAAAATAAAAATTATAATTAAAAAATAAATAAATAGGAGGATAACTCTAAAATTAAGAAGAAAAAAAAGAAAGAAAACAATTTCACCGCTGCCAAAAATCCCATTACACGCACCGCCCTATCAACTTTACCATCTCTAAACACTTTGGAAGACATAACATCCGGGTGTTTTTGGTTGCAGGAGGTTGCCGCATGAGTTGCTCAAGGGTGTAGGCAGCATCAACTTGTAAGAGTTCACGTTCCACACCAACTTTATATATATATATATATATATATTAGTTTGTTAAAAAATTAATCAAAATGAACATGTTGGAAATAAAAAATACCCTTGGGATCCTTCAAGGTTTTGATTTTAAAGGCACTGACTTTTTTTTTTTAAAAAAAGAAAATGGTGTAAAAGCCCCTCTTAACCTGTTACTTTTTTATTTGCTTTGCAAGGGTCATTACGTTATTTAACTACACAAAAAAAGTTGAAAAACAATCATAACCCCGATCAATTTTATAATAATAAATAAATCACATGAAAAAAAATAATTTTACCCTTAAAGACATGCCATTTGGTTTTTGCCATAAAGAGCAAAGATATCCATGTACTACAGCATTAATGGTGCAATAGATCTATCCCTACAGTAAAATACTGATGTGGTTTATTTTCTTTTAATATGTTTATGATGGTGTGTGGCTACACCAAGTTGATTGAGTTATAAAATCAATATTTTGATTTCATCCATTATTGTATGATTGTTAATCAATCATATATTTATTGAATCAATTACATTATTTTTTATTATTTTTTTTCAACAATGAGAAATTGCAATTAAATAAAAGCAACAAAAAAAATATAGAATATGAGTATCCAATATTTCATTACCTAAGAAATGCTTATTATTTCAAGAATATGCTAGGAATATAAAAATTTAACAAAAGCTTATAAATAAAAGCAACAAAAAAGAAGAAGGTAAATCATAAATAAATTGTAAATTACATAAGAAAATGTTATATTTTTAAGGATAAAGTGTTAGAGTTTCTCGTAAACACTTAAATCTAATCTTAAATAAATTATTCATATTAGATAATAAAATTACTTGATGAATCCTAATACGTACTGAATTCTAACTTAACAAGTGTTTGTGTTTTAGTAATTACAGAAATGCTAAACTATTATACAAATATTAGTTATTTCATTAAGAAACCGTGTTTTGAATAAAATTATATTTTTGGTTGATTACATGAACTCCGGTTACAATTACGATCATGAGTACTAGTTGATTGATAGAACATCTCTCTTGATTGATTTCACTATTATCATCAATTAATAACTATTCTTACTGGATCCACAAGTTATTTTTAAAAAAATTGAATGCTATGAGTTATAATTCACAAGTTAAATCACTTTGTAAAAATCATATGATTATGTGTACAAAGAAAATAGACGCTGGCTTTAGCTATAACTGGCATGTCACTTCACTTCTTTCGTGACAATATTTCATTTACTGGTACAGTTATTAGAGAAAACAAACATAAGAAACTGCTGTCCTGCAGTAGCTAGACTTTTGTGCTCTGACTGTATATCCTTACATACAAATGGCTAAAGAGAGAGCATTCTAAACCAGTGATGCAACTAGTTTTACAGTTGTTTGACAACCATAGTGGAGGTCAAGTAACGATCAACGAAGAGTTCCTATAGCCTTTTTATAAGTGTACCAATTTGAGATCAAGAGAAAGGCACCTAAATTCAGCACACTGAGTATTCCTAGTAGCCAGAAGAAGTAATCAATGTGGCCGTAATTTAAGTTGTCCGGTATCCACCCGGCCTTTCCATTCTTAGTGCTGATGCTTGTAACAATGGTTACCAGAAGAGAGCTTAAATAATTGCCAAGTGCGACGGTGGTGAGTGACAGGGCAGAACACATGCTCCTCATTGCATCAGGTGCTTGTTCGTAGAAGAATTCCAATTGCCCGATGAACGTGAATACTTCGGCACAGCCTATCAGGAAATACTGCGGAACTTGCCAAAATATAGACATGGGCACGGAATCAAGTTCGTAGTAGTTGTTATTTCTCACCATTTGGAGTCTTTTAAGTTCCAAGACTGCTGCAGATACCATGGCAAATATTGATATGAATAGACCAATGCCCATCCGCTGCAGCTGAGTTAAGCCGTTTTTATGTCCAGTGAATTTTCTTGTAACTGGGACAACAATTCGGTCATACACAGGGACCCAAAAAATGACACTGAGGGTGTCAAAGATGGATAAAGATGCCGATGGTATCTCGAAAGTGGAGTTTCCAACAAATTTATCCATTGTTTCACCTTGCAGCACAAATAAGTTCCCCATTTGGCTGTACACTGCCGAAAAGATGATACCAGTGGCCCATATAGGGAGCAACCGAATGATAGCCTTTAGCTCCTCGACTTGGGTTACTGTGCAAAGATTCCATGGGTCTCCTGTACTCTTAATGTCGTCCTTTTCTGTTTCTACTGCTGCCTTGTCAAGGAAACTGAAGAGAGAAGATTACTAAAAAGTTTAGAAACTAATAAAACGGCTGGTTAGTCAAGAAAACAAAGTTAAGTAACCCTACAAAAGTTCAATTCTAGAAGCCTGAATAAATTATTGCCTGTATGTTGCCAGAGCATTGTAAATTATTGAAGTTGTACGCTCTCGTTAAAATTTTAGATGGGAATTCAGACTGAATCACATTGACATCGAACCATTTTATGTTTTCATAACACGTGGTATGGATTTAGTTTTATTTTACTATCAGAATTTAGCCCTTAAGATCTGGAATGGCCTCATTTCTGTATGCTTTCCTAGGAATATAGAATGTGGAGCTTGATAATAGCTTCAGAACACTTTTTGAGGAATGGATCCTATCAAATCACTTCCGTGATGCAGCAACGTTGATTTCAAAATAAAACATCAAACTTGAGGTAATTAATTGCTGTATCCTGAACTGCATGCAAGCTAGACTAGGCCACAATTGTCTACTTTCTTTAAATTCAGCTATGTCATTATACATGTAATCAGTAAAGACACCAACCTAAATTCTTTAGTATGGTCGAGCTTGCGGCTTCCTTTGATGTTGGATTCGGCATCTGCAGTCTCATGCAACAGAGACTTGTCTGCAGGAACTTCAACTTTCCGTTTTCTGAAGGATGCTACCAGCACCTGACAGATGCGTGTAACAGGGCTGCCTCCAGGCTTTTGATACCTGAACAACTTGGTACCTGAAAAGAAGCTCACAACAGCAATTGCCATGGCTATTGCTGGAATGCCAAAACCCCATCCCCAACTCACATTATCTTGTATCCAAACCAGCACAGAACCGGCAATAAGAGCACCGACATTAATCGAGAGGTAGAACCAGTTAAAGAAAGAACTCTTGTGTTTCTTCTCAGTTTCGTCAGCATCATCAAACTGATCTGCTCCATAGGATGAGACGCAAGGCTTAATACCTCCTGTGCCAAGTGCTATCAGGTAAAGTGCTACGAAAGTTACTGCAGTTTGACCATCTGTTGGATGGCAATGATCTTTTGAATAACATTCTGGCCTGAGGCCAGGGACAGTTGCTGACATTGTCAAAAGCGTCATCCCCTGTGAAATTTGAAGCTCAAGGTAAAACAAACTTATCCCAGAATAGTTGATCCTTTCGAAGGACTCCACGTTTGAAGATAATCACAAAGAATGGATTAAGTTTGACAATAAAAAATGTGATGCGAGGTATAAATCGAAGACAAACCATCCTTTCTCTTGTCAATTATTTGACCGCACACAATTTTTCTTCAAGAAAGAAAATCCTAGTACTATGATTCCAATACAGTGATGCATATCAAAATCAGATCAATGGAAAGCTCTTTTGAGTTTCAACCTCGTCATAAGCAGAAGTTGAGATTGAGCAATGATCAGCAAGTTGAAATTCAAAGCATGCACGGTAGAAATGATTAAGAGTTTCGAGTAAGTAAAACTTACTGCAACATATATGCTTGAGAAACTAGCAATCGTCCAATATCTTCCTAGATAAGCATCAGCAACGAATGCTCCGATCAATGGAGTGATATAGCATGTTCCACCCCAGTTCAAGTTATTTCTAGTAGCTGTAGCACTGCTCTGGTTCAATCTGTGCTTGAAATAAAGAACCAGATTGGAGCTCATCCCATAGTACGCCAATCGTTCACAAAATTCATTTCCTGTTGATAAAGGCTAAAACTGTTAAGCATGTCTCTCGTGATCAGATTGCCTTAATTGTAATAGGAAATCAAGAGAAGGTACCTATAATAAAAGGGCAGGCCCTCCAGGTTCCGGTCTCCTTTCTGTTAGCAGGATTCCCCAGATAATCCACAGTTCCATCTTTTGTATAAACATCCTCCTCTGCCATGGTGCTTTAGGTATTCTTGTGCTTTGCTTATTCTCTGCAGTCTACTTGAGATATTGCAGTCTTAAAACTGCACTACGCAGAGAAATATAGCTGTATTGAATTGCCTGTCAAATATGGAAACGAAACAAATGTCAGGTGCAGCGGCAGAGGTTTGCTTCAGTTAAGGCCACTGTAGTTTTGGGACACAATCTTAGTTTAATCGACGAGAATCAATATTGACACCCTCAATTACAACCTTGACATGAAAAATTGAAGACCATTCTTCCTGGTGTTGGTGGTTTTAGAAACAGAGGTTTGTCAAGGAGAAAACAGATGTGGGATTTTGCAAAACTCAATACAACGCAAAGACGAAAGGACAGATTAAGGAAAGAGAAAAAAGAACTCAATCCTTATGCTTGAGACAATCACGTAATGTTCCCAGGAAAAAGCAGCTAAGCTCATCAATAATGGAAAAGCAGACTTGTAAGAGTCTTTAGGATGAGAGGGGTAAAATTCAGAAAACAACGTTGGTGTGCCCCTTCAAGGTCAGCAGACAAACCAGCCACGTCAACTGCATTTTTGTGCGCGCGCACACACTGATAGGATACAGTGAAAGGATATAGATGGTGGTTGATATTGCGGTTTAATTGTATTTTTAATTTTATTTCTTTTAATTTTAAAATATTATTTTTATATATTTTAATTATTTTAATATATTATAGTAAAATTAAATTTTAAAAAATAAAAAAAATATTATTTTAAAGTTGTTACTAATTGATTCCACCGTTCCCTGTCTTTTCCCAGTTGCTTCACGTTATGCGGCTGTTGAAAGTTCAAATCTCTCTCTCTCTCTCAATAGAAAAATAACACGGGTCCTCTTTTATGTGGAAAGATCTGAGTGGGGTATTAAAATCAAGCGTTGAAGAGAGATTAGTCTGGAGTTATCTCAGAATTCATGGCATTTTTTTTCCAAGGGTAAGAGGTCAAAGATTGGCACGAGATAAAAAGGCAAGCTAGACTAAATCGAGTTAGAAATTTAACCTAACTGGTTCAGAGCCTAATCTTACCATTCATATACGCAAAAATATTTACACACAGAGAAACAAGCAGTGCCCAGAAAGATAGCTCTTACCTTGTTGAATCTTGCGATCTACCATTACACAGCATAAGTGAAGGTGCAAAGCTAGGGCTACACTATCTCCCAGTGCAAATCCAGCTCTTCGATCAGAACAAGATATGAATATTGACGGGGAGAGCGTCAGCTTGAATGGCCCTGACTGGCGGTGGGCTCAAGGGATCTCCTCATAAGCCGACTACCCCGGCCTGTTGCTAACCTGCTATATATTCGCGTGAGGTCCCTGCAGGTTCCAGCTCGAAATGAGTTGATTGGAAGGTGTTTGGCGTTTAGTTCGTTAAAATTTTGATTTTTTAAAAAATAAATTAATATTTTTAGATATTTTTAAATGGTTTATATATTATTTAATTATACTGCATGGACTACTACGCTACTATTAATTAATTTATAACAACTCCGGCAGCGACGTAGAGAAATGTATTGGTGAGCAATTTGCCCAAGGAAGAAACGGATCCCATTATTTTATTTTCTGCATCATTTCATCAACACAGCGATATTTTGAGTATTAATTAATTAATTAATATGCTATGGTACTGAAGATTCCAAAAGTTGACAGGGAATGGCTCTCATAATAACAACCAGAGCATGATTTTGACATACGGTTAATAAAATTCAACGATTAGGTTTTTAAATACTAGTTGGAGACCACACGCACACACAGATATGTACATAAGAGAGTTCATGCACGTAAAATGGACGAGTAATGCTAATTTTTACTAGGATTTCTTCCTAATTTACCTCTCAAAACATCTCAATTGTTGGATTTTTGTACTGGATTCCACTTGTTTAAAATGTTAAGAATCCATCAATTCCTCAAAAAATGATATCAGTTGAAAATTAACAATTTTTTTCTTAGATACAGTACAAAATTAACATTAAACATAAAAATGTACTATCCCGTTGTCGGCAATAGGACTCCTCTTATTTTTTAAATAATAATTAGTTTAATAGTCCACCATTATCGCACAATCTATATCAACCTCCCAGCAAAATTTCGCAGTCCACGGTTTCAGACCATGCGGGGATATAATGATTTCAATATTAAAAAGAATTAGCTGGGAAAATGGCAAGCCAATCGAATTGCTAGCTGAATATTCTTTGAAAAGTACCTTAGAATTTTTAGCACTTGGCCGGGCGTTCAGATTGAAGTCCTCCTAAATCGGACATCCAGTGTGGAAAAGGTTTATGGAGTGACGTGAACGGCTTTTCAAACGGAGAGTTTTATAAAATTTGAATTTTTTTATTTGAAATTATATATATCGTTTTAATATATTAATATCAAAAATTATTTTAAAAATAAAAAATACTTTAAAAACAACCTTCTTCAAAAAAACAAACGAAAACCGAAAGGAAAGAGAAATAATTCAAGCGTGATTAGCTAGGAGACACTAAATTGTTCATGATTATAACCCTTTTTTTGTATGGAAGGGTTTGTCATTTCTCCATGTCTCTCTCAGGACAACTTGAACTCCCCGGCTGTATCAATTAGCTTGATCCCAGAGGATTAGTCTCTTTCTATACAGCTTGCAGTGACTGGTTTTAACCTGATTCTAAGCAATTATTCCATTTGATTAATTAGACAGTCCGTTTGAATGGCTTTGCTAAACCCAATTTGATTTTGTGTTGTTGGCGCTCTCACTGTGTGGGCTGCTGTCTCGTTAAGCGATTTCATTTTTGACGATTTCCATGTAAAATCTTTCAGTTAAATAATATCTATATATTCTTATTAAATAGAGGGTAGAATAGTATTTTTAATTTAATCTACATATATTTTATTTAGATTTAGATTAAGACTGGACTTATAATATATAAATTATTCAGAATTCTAATTTTCTTTTTATATTTAATCTTAATTATTTCAACACTTTCAAGATAAGAGCTTTTCAAAGCTGGTCTTTCCCAGGCTATTGAATAAGAGAGTGAGATTGCGGAGCCGGGGTTTCATAAACATCGGCATAAAAATGTCTGTTACATGTTTAAGTTGACGTTGATGCAGGAGTAGTAAAGCCTTCAAAGTTGTGTTGTGTGTGTTTACATGAAATATATAATAGATGGTAAGAGATTGAAGATTTTTGTTGACAAATGTATTAAATAAATTTTTTATTTGTTTTTTAAAATTATTTTTAATATTAGCATATTAAAATATAAAAAAAAATTAAATAAAAAAATTTCAAAAATATAAAAAATACAGTGGTTTGCGTTTCCAAAGACACCCAACGAGAGTGACCTAATAGATTCGAACTATTTACTCGATAGCTCACTGCACGCATCATTTGAGAACAGCACGAGCCATCCCCTGAATATGAACATGCCATAACTTCGTACAGTGCGAACAATGATATCATTAAACTATAACGCGAGTTATTATATACTATAAGTAAATTTATTATGGACTGCACTTGAGTTGTAAATATTAACTTTTTATGTAATCCAAAATATTTATATAAAATATATCATTATTTATGTTTTAAATATTATTTTTTATAATTCAAAGTATTCATTTCAAGGATATTATTTATTTATAAGAATTGAAATTTTTAATAGAAGAAATAGTATTAGTTGTGTTATGAATATTATTATTTTCACTATAATAAAAGATATTAATATTAAAAATATTATTTTTTGTGTCATAGATATTATTATTTTTATAATAATTAATATTATTAATAAAATTATTATTAAATTATATAAAAAATTATTATTAATATTAAAAAATAACCATAAATTTAATTTGAAAAGTAAAATTAAAAATTATTATTATTATTAAATTTTTTAAAAATATTATTACTAATAAAAAAAACCACATGGGGATATGTGACATTTGAGCTGCTGCCTAGCACTAGACAAAACCATACGTCCACGTGGCACTTGGGCTTTTGCTTCAGTGCTGAGCATACTTTTACGCACATGCGGCGCTTGAACTGCCTGTCTAGAGATAGGACACACCTCAGTGCTCACGTGGCACTTGAGCAGCACAGGGCATGTCCATACTCGCACCCCACTTGGATACACCGATGACAGGTCCTACTGCTGGACCCAAGGATTCTAAATGTTATTATTTGTTTTAGAAATATTATTATTTTTATTTTAATTAATATTACTAATTAAATAATCAATAAATTTCAAAGAAAATATTACTATTAATATTGAAAACATATTATTTATACTATAAATGTTTATGGTGTTGTTTATAAAAATAAAAAGTGAGCTTGTGGTGTAGTATTATTAAAGATATTCAACAATTATAAGTATTAATATAAAAAATATTATAATTTGTATTGTTAATATGATTATTTTTCTTACTGTACAAGATATTCATATAAAACATATTATTATTTTTTTTATTCAAAGTGTTCATATTAAAATATTATTATTTTCCTTGGAATTCAACATATTTATATCAAAGATATTATTATTGGTGTTAGAATATTCTTATTTTTATAAGAATTAAAATATTATTTTTTTACTAAATATTATTGGAATTAAAAAATAGTATTAATTGTGTCATGAATATTATTATTTTCACTGTAATCAAAAGTATTAATATTAAAAATATTATGTTTTGTGTTATAAATATTATTATTTTTATAATAATTAATAAAAAAACTATTCATAATATTAAAAACCACTCGTAGATTTGATTTGAAAGGTAAATCTATAAATTACTATTAGTATTATTATTATTATCATCATTGATAAAATTTAAAAAACTGTTATTACCATAGAAGAAAACTACATAGAGACACATGGCATTGAGACTGCTGCCTGGGGCCTAGCACACCCCATGTGCCCGCGTGACACTTGGACTCCTACCTGATGCGCATATTTGGGGCTTGGGCTCTTGCCTGAGTTCGAAGTGTACTCCGTCGTTCACATGACGCTTGGGCTGTTACCTCAGTACTAGACACACCACAACGCCCGCATGGTGCTTGGGCTGCATTCGGTGTGGCCATGTTGGCATCCACTTGGGTAAGGGGAATGGGTCCGGCGTCACAACCCAAGATCAATGAGTCGTGTACAAAGAACCAATTTTAAGTATTATTATTTGTTTTAGAAATATTATTATTTTTACTGTACTTAATATTATTAATAAAATAATTAATAAATTTCGAAGAAAATATTACTAATAATATTGAAAACATATTATTATTTATATTATAATTTTTTATGGTGTTTTTCACGAAATAAAAAGTGAGCCCGTGACGCAGAGTTATTAAAAATATTCAGCAATTCTAGGTATTAATATAAAAAATATTATAATTTGCTTTGTAAATATTATTATTATTTTTAGAATACAAAGTATTCATCTAAATCATATTATTATTTTAAGTATTCATATCAAAATATTATTATTTTCTTATAATTCAACATATTCATATTAATGATATTATTATTTATATTATATTATTATTATTTTTATAAAAATTTAAAATTTTAATATAAAAAATATTATTATTTGCATTCTCAGTATTCTTGTAATTAAAAATAGTATTATTTGTGTTCTGAGTATTATTATTTTCACTATAATCACAAGTATTAATATTAAAAGTATTATCTTCTGTGTTATAAATATTATTATTTTTTAATAATTAATATTATTAATAAAATAAGTACTAAATAAAAAAAATACTCTTAATATTAAAAAACACTCATAGATTTGATTTGAAAGATGAAATTAAAAATTATTATTAGTATTATTATTATTATCATCATTAATAAATTTTAAAAAAATATTATTATTATAAAAAAAAGCATGTAAGTACACTTGATGCCTGTGTTGCTTTAATAGTTGGGTATACCCTTTATGGCCACATGGCACTTAGGTTCTGCATTGTTGCTAGGTAAATCCTCTACACATGTGGTTTTTGTGCTATTTATCCAGGGCTTAACACTCCCAACACATATGTAGCATTTGAATATATCAAGATCCAATTATCTCTCAACTCTACATTTTATAAAATCCAAAATAACTTTGGGTTCCAAAATATATCCAGATGCTACTCGTGTAGGACCCAAAATAGGATTGACAGGACCCAACTTTTTTTTAAAAAAAAGTGTGAGATGATCTTTATAGTTGTAATTAAAAAAAAAAATTAAAAAAAATAGTTTTAGTTGTAATTATTTGGATTTATATACGTGTTTGATGAAAATAATGGTGGAAGTTAATATATGGTAAAAAATATATATATAATATTTTGGTTTTTTTATAACCATTAAGATGAGATTAATAAAGAATA